TAATAAGTGAGACAGGAAAGTAGGAACTTGCCTCGCAGGCAGCCAATTGAGATTGATCCACAGCACTACCAGGAGTGATTTCTTTTTCTTTATTTTTTCTTTAAATGTTTTTAGCTGCTATATAGTATAACAAGATATAGTTACAAAGTTGCTGGTGATTGAGTTTCAGTTATACAGTGTTACAAAGGAGTGATTTCCAGTACAAAACCAGAAGTAACCACACATGGCCCAAAAACCAAAAAGAAAAGAAAAAACAAAAGCTTCCTAAAGAGGGACCAGAGATAGGACAGTGGGTAGAACATTTGCCTTGCACACAGCAGACCTCAGTTGGATCCCCAGCATTGCATAGGGTCCCCCAAGCACCGCCAGTTTAAAAAAAAAATGGAGCCCTGGAAAAAAACCTGAGTGCCCAGGAACAGATGACTGGTGAGCCCTGAGCATACCAATTATGGCCCCAAAACAATTCCTTAGGGGCTAGAAAGATGGTTCAGATAGCTGGAGTACATGCATTATATGCTAGGTTTGATCCTGACACTGTATGGTCCCCCAAACACAGCTCAGAGTAACCCCTGAGCAGTGAACCAGAAGTATCCCTTGAGGATCACTGGGTATGGGCCTGAACCACGATGAAAAAATGAAGAACAAATTTTAAAAGATGGCTCAGTAGCTAAAGTCTTGTGAGTATGAGACCAAGATTTCAGCCCCTGATACCACTGCAGGTTCCAAGCAGGATGCCAGCAGTTCTGCTGTCTGATTCTTCATACAGAACCTTTCCCAGGTTCAATCTCCAGCATTCCATATGGTCCCCCGATCACCACCAGGAGTAATTCCTGGTTGTAGAGCCAGGATTGACCCCTGAGCATTGCTGGGTGTGACCCAAATATATATATATTATATTATATATATTATTTATTACATTACATATATTTCTTTATACATTACACATATATTTATTTATTACATATTTCTTTGGGGCCAGAAAGATAGTTCAAAAGTTTGGGAGTCAAACAGTTTCTATGAAGCCCATATCTCTCTAATACCAAAAAGAAACAAAGACACCACAAGAAAAGAAAACTACAGGCCAATATCCCTGATGAACATGGATACAAAGATTCTCAACAAAATACTAGCAAACAGAATTCAACAACTCATCAAAAAGATCATACACCATGACCAAGTGGGATTCATCCCGGGGATGTAAGCATGGTTTAACATTCGGAAATCAATCAACATAATCCATCATATCAACAAAAGAAAAGATAAAAACCATATGATCATATCAATAGATGCAGAGAAAGCATTTGACAAGGTCCAGCACCCGTTTATGATGAAAACCCTCACCAAAATGGGTATAGAGGGGATTTTCCTCAATATAGTTAAAGCCATCTACCACAAGTCTACAGCAAGCATCATCCTCAATGGAGAAAAACTGAGAGCCTTCCCTTTAAGATCGGGACGAGACAAGGATGCTCACTCTCTCCACTGCAGTTCAATATAGAACTGGAAGTACTTGCAATAGCGATTAGGCAAGAAAAAAATATTAAGGGCATCCAGCTGGGAAAGAAAGAAATCAAGCTCTCACTATTTTCAGATGATATAATACTATACTTAGAGAACCCTATAACTTCTACCAAGAAACTCCTAGAAACAGTAGACTTATTGTATAGTAAAGTTGCAGGCTATAAAATCAATATCCAAAAGTCCATGGCTTTCCTATACGCAAATAGAGAGAAGAAAGTGACATGAAAAAAAAAATCCCATTCACAATTGTGCCCCAGAAAATCAACTACCTAGGAATTAGCTTAACTAAGGAAGTAAAGGACCTGTACAGAGAAAACTACAAAACACTACTTCAGGAAATAAAAGAGGACATGAGAAAATAAAAAGATATCCCCTGCTCATGGATCGGGAGAATTAACATTGTCAAAATGGCAATACTTCCCAAAGCATTGTACAAATTCAGTGTGATCCCTATAACGATACCCATGACATTCTTCAAAGAAATGGAACAAACACTCCTGAAATTTATATGGAACTATAAGCCCCCATGAATAGCTAAAGCAATTCTTGGGAAAAAGAAAATGGGAGGAATCAACCTCCCTAACTTCAAACTCTACTACAAAGCAGTAATAATTAAAACACCATGGTACTGGAACAAAGGCAGAGCTGCAGACCAATGGAACAGGGTTGAATATACTGACATCTCCTCCCAAACATATGATCATATAATCTTTGATAAGGGAGCAAGAAATGTGAAGTGGAGCAAGGAAAGCCTCTTTAACAAATTGTGCTGGCAAAACTGGACAGCTACACGCAAAAAAAATGGGCTCAGATCTCTGCCTAACACCATGTACAAAAGTAAGATCAAAATGGATTAAAGACCTCAACATCAGACCGGAATCCATAAGGTACATTGAAGACAAAGTTGGCAAAATCCTCCATGACATTGAAGCTAATGGTATCTTCTAAGATGTCACACCACTGGCTAAGCAAGTGAAGTCAGAGATAGACAAATGGGACTATCTTAAACCAAGACGCTTCTACACCTCAAAAGAAACAGTGGACAAAATACAGAGACAGTCTACAGAATGGGAAAGGATATTTGCCCAATACACATCCAACAAGGGGTTGATATCAAGGATATACAAAGTACTGGTTGAACTCCACAAGAAGAAGACATCCAACCCCATCAAAAAATGGGGCGACGGAATGAACAGAAACTTTCTCAAAGAAGAAATTCAAATGGCAAAAAGGCACATGGGAAAATGCTCTACATCATTAATCATCAGGGATATGCAGATCAAACAACAATGAGATATCATCTCATACCACAGAGACTAGCCCACATCCAACAGAACAAAAGCAACTGGTGTTGGCATGGATGTCGCAAGAAAGGGATCCTTCTTCATTGCTGGTGAGAATGCCGAATGGTTCAGCCCTTTTGGAAAACAGTATGGCCTATTCTCAAAAAATTAGAAATTGAGCTCCCATTTGACCCAGCAATACCACTCCTGGGAATATATCCCAGAGAGGCAAAAAAGTATAGCTGAAGTGACATCTGCACTTGTTTGTTCATTGCAGCACTGTTTACAATAGCTAGAATCTGGAAAAAACCTGAGTGCCCGAGAACAGATGACTGGTTTTTAGTACATCTACACAGTGGAGTACTATGTAGCTGTTAGAAAAGATGAAGTCATGAAATTTACATACAAGTGGTAGCACAGTAGCACAGTCATCCCGTTGTTCATCAATTTGCTCGAGCAAGCCTGGTAACGTCTCCATTGTGAGACTTGTTACTGTGTTTGGCATATTGAATACATCAAGGGTAGCTTGCCAGGCTTTGCCGTGCAGGCAAGATAGTCTCGGTAACTTGCCAGGCTCTCTGAGAGGGGCGGAGGAATCGAACCAGGCTTGGCTGGGCTGGCTGCGTGCAAGGCAAACGCCCTACCGCTGTGCTATTGCTGCATGGAAGGTATCATGCTATGCAAAATGAGTCAGAAAGAGAGGGACAGATATAGAAAGATTGCATTCATCTGGGGAACATAAAGTAACAAAATAGGAGACTAACACCCAAGAATAGCCAAGATAAGTACCAGGAGGTTTACTCTATGACTTTATGTCTTGGAGGCCAGCCACACACGCTAGGGGAAAAGGCGGCTCAGATAGAGAAGGGAGCACCAAATAAAGGATGTTGAGATGATCCTCCCAGGATGGGAGATGCATGCAGAAAGTAAGACCATAGACTGAACATGATTGCCACTCAGTGCCTCTTTTGTAAACCACAGCACCCAATAGGAGAGAGAGAACAAAAGGGAAGGCCCTGCCACAGAGGCAGGGTGGGATAGAGGGATGAGGGGGGTGGGAGGGATACTGGGAGCATTGGAGGTGGAGATTGGGCACTGGTGGAGGGATGGGTACTCGATCGTTGTATAACTGAAACCCAAGCACAAAAACTTATAAGCCCACAACTGTTCCTCATGGTGTTTCACTAATAAAAAATTAAAAAATAATAATAAATAAAATTTATTACTTTTCTCTTTTAAAAAATTGTTGGGGGTTCATGCTTTTTATATCAGAGCTCTGAGTTGATCCCTAGGTATCAAACTGGGTGTTACGCCTAGGTAGTGCCAGATATGGTCCCAAAACAAAAAACAGAATTCTTCCTTTTCTTTCATTTTTTTATTTTGGTTTCTGAGCCCCAACTGGATGTGCTTAGGTTTTACACTTGACTCTGTGCTCAGGTCTTATTCCTGGCTCTGTGCTCAGAGATCACACCTGGCAGGACTCTGGAGACCATATGGGGTGTCAGGGATCAAACCAGGGTCAGGTGAGTGCAAGGCAAATATCTTACCAGCTGTACCATCTCTTGGGATACCCCCCAAAACTTTGGGGCTTGAGTTGCTCAGGGATTACTCCTGGTAGTGCTCAGGGGACCGTTTGGTATATCAAAGACCAAACCCAGGTCAGCTGCATGCAAGACAAATGCCCTACCCACTGTATATCGCTCCAGCCCTGAAAAATTTATTTCTACATTTATGACTACATTGTTAGGTTCAAAATGCTAAAACAAAAGAAGACAAAACAAAAAATTATTGAAAAACACAGGTCCTATCCCATCTCTGCTACATTTATCTCCCCTTCCACAGATAGGTAATTATTTTTCTTAATACCCTACTAGTAATTCTTTGTCATACAGAAGAAGATGAATGTCATTCTTCCAGTTCCCTCTTCCTTACTCGGACTTATGTATGTATGTGTATATTTAGAAATAGAGATGTATATAATATTTTGTATATAATATTTTGCACCTTGATCATTTCACTTAATTATCTTACAGAGCTTTCTATAGTGGTACATAGAAAACTTTCTCATTCTTTTTTTTAAATTTCCCTCATAGCTCTTACAGGTCAATTGCATAAATTATTGTAGAATTCTCCTACAGAGGGTTACTTGGTGGGACAGTATATTGTTTTCAGTGTTTATTTTATTAACTTCTCCAGGTGGATATGGATAAGAGCGGTGAAGTCCGACTGATAGAACTAGATGAGTCTTTCAAAAGTGAACATACTGTTTTTGTGACCCCACCTGAGATCCCCCGCCTTCCCGATGGTGAAGAACCTCCGCTACAGTACAGGTATTCAAGAATCTGAATGAATGTTTGAGGTTGAAAGAGAAGCAGTCCATCACCTGTGACGTAGCTTTCTAAGGACTTGGTATTTTCAAAAATCAAAACTTTACAGATCCTTAATATTTAGGTGGTAAACAATCTTATACCATATCCATTATTACAATTTGAGGAATTTAAAGAAAAAATGAAGTATTTCATGATACAGGCTTGGGAAGTTGGAAGGTTCACTATATCTGCATAAGTACCAATTTCTAAATGTTAATTAAATTCTATTAGAATTCTGTTAGAACTACACCCCAGAAAATAATCTGTACTTTTGTTATAGAATTATTTTTTATGTTCTCACTGATTTTCCCACCCCACCCCTCTCTCTCACTCTCTCATATCTCTCTCTCATGTCACTTGTGATCCTTGAGCACAGAGCCAGAAGGAAGCCCTGAGCAAAATGAAAAAATAAATTAAGTATTGAATGATAGATTCCTCCTATCCTCTGGGAAAGAGAAAAGTTCTGAGCACAGTGAGATAAGGGCTATGATTGAAGTATCTTAAATATAGCTCTTATATCAGTATATTAGACATATCTGTTATATATTAGAGATAGCTTCTAGGGAATCTAGAAACTGTTGTTTATTTATCTAACAATTTAAAGGTTCCTAAACCATTTCATATCTATCATTAAGGTACAACAGTTCGTGGTTTTCATTGAAAAGGGAATTTTTTAAAATTTTTTTATAATTTTATTTATTGAATCACCGTGAGAGCAGTTACAAAGCTTTCGGGTCTAAGTCTCAGTCATACAATGAAACACCCGTACCTTCACCAGTGCCCATTCTCCACCACCAACAACCCCAGTATAAGGGATTTTTTTTTTCAGGATATCCTATACCTTGGATTGAATTCTGTCTTTCACAAATGAAAAAAAATGGTGTAATAAATGCTTGTGGATATTGATTAATTCACATGCCACTTGATTCATACCCAGACTTTTCTTTTTTGTTTCTTTTTGGCCTTTACCTTTTGTTTTAATTTTTTATTGAGTCACTGTGAGATACAGTTACAAAGCTTTCATGTTTGATATTCAGCCACACACAGATCACCCATCCCTCCACCAGTGCAAACTTTCCACCACCACTGTCACTGTATCACTGTCATCCTGTTGGTCATCGATTGCCTCCATCAGGCCCCAGTAACGTCTCCTTAATCCTAGCCCTGAGATTTTAAAAAGTGCCACATTTGAGGCTCTTTCAGGGCCAGGAGAATGAGACCCATCATTGTTACTGGTTTTTGGCATATTGAATATGCCACGGGGAGTTTGCCAGACTCTGCCGTGTGGGCAGGATACTTTTGGTAGCCTGCCAGGTTCTCCAGAGTAAGAACTAGATGATACGATGTCACACAGCTGCTAATGCAGCCACGCGCTTATGATCTCTGGGTCTTGGCCATTGATGGAATTACACGGCGCCGGAGGCAGTTGGTGGGTATGACGCCTACATGCTGGAAGATGGGGGATCTGGGTGGAGGAGGCCCCAGTCCCAATCTGAGCAGGCTTGGAGATGTACGTCCCGGGTCCCGCACACCTGGGTTCTTCTGCCGGTTCCTTCATGCGTGAGGCTTGTCCGAACGTGTGGAGAGTGGTCTTAAGCACCAATATCTGCCACCAATATCCCCATTATCCCCTCCTCTTCCATCCCAGTTCTTACCCTGTCTCTGCGGCAGACAACTGCTCAGATACTCTCTCTCTAGTTTTGATACCCAGACTTTTCATCTATTCCTCATCTCACTTTTATTAGCCTGTATTTTGTCAAAAATACTGAAATTATTTATCCCATTTCTCTTTCTGTATTTTTTTGTTTTCTAAGCAAGATCTCATTTCTGTGCTCTCTTTCATAGATTATATTTCTAAGAGTTCTTTTGGTATGTTTCTCTAATATAGTTCACACACACACACACACACACATACACACACACCCTATGGTCTGGTTTTACCACTTAAAATACATTTTTGGATTTAGCCCTTTTCTATTAGTTTGGTTTTTTGTTTTGTTTTGTTTTGTTTGGGGGCCACACCTGGGACGTATTCCTGGCTCTGCATTCAGAGATCATTCCTGATGATGTTTAGGGAGCCATATGGGCTTCTGGGAATCCAACCCAGGTCAGGAGCATGCGAGGCAAATGCCCTACCCACTATATTAGCTGGCCCCTGGATCTAGTCCTTAATAAGGAGATAATTTAGCTGGAGCTTGGGAGACAGGTTATGAATCAGGGCACTGTGTGGCCTAGCCCCATCCTACCCCCACCCCATAAGTCAGTTGTCCTTGGCAGCCCTCAGTTCAGCTGGGCCTGAGCAGGGCCACGTTGCTTCTCTCTAGAATTTGCCTCTCCAGCTCATCTAGCAAGGCATTACAAGAAGTGTCTTTGGGGACACCGGAGAGGGAATTAAATGCTCCCAAGGATCACAGGCCCTCTTAGTAAGAAATGACTCATATGCACATTGTGTGCAAGGATAAAGAGGTAAAACTCTACGATACACAGAATGATCATTTTCATACCATACAATTAGACTTTGTCATCTTGGTTCTTTTGATCATTTATCTTATTCCTAGTCCCATCCCACTTATCATTCATCCATTACCAAGACTGTTGAATTTACCTTTAGTAATATATAATAGAGTTTGCCATCTTTTATTATACTTTGCTTATTTAATTACATGTGTTAAGAATATTAGCATAAGCCCTTTAGAAAGTATATTGCTGAGGGCTTCATCAGTTCTTTTTAGCGTGTCCAATCTTAGGGACTGGAGCAATAGCACAGCGGGTAGGGCGTCTGCCTTGCACACAGCCAACATGGCCGACCCGAGTTCGATTCCTCCGCCCCTCTCGGAGAGCCTGGCAAGCTACCGAGAGTATTCGATATGCCAGACACAGTAGCAACAAAGTCTCCAATGGAGACGTTACTGGGCCCGCTCGAGCAAATCGATGATCAACGGGAGGGCCTTTACTTACTTTTTAATCTTAGGGACGGCTACTTCTTTTTAGTGGGTAGGAGCCCACACCCAGCAGTGTTCAGGGCTTACTCCTCTCTCTGTGCTCAGGGATCACTCCTGGCACACTTGGGGAATCGTATGTGGTACTGAGGATTGAACCCAGGTCAGCCACATGCAAGGCAAGAACCTTACCTGGTGTTCTATGGCTCTGGCCTGACTGCCACCTTTTAAATGCCCAGTATATCTTGTGCTATACCCAGATAAGCCCGCCTCCTTAGAGCCACACATTGCTGATTTTTTCATACTGTTCTCCAACTTCTTGGGTTTGGGTCAGGGGTCCACAGGGCGGTTATGTGCACTACTCACATATAGTCACCTGGGCTAGAACTCCTGAACCACAAAGAAAGAAATTAAACCAACTTTCTCCGTTTTCTTTCTTAGAAAGAACTCCATGCAGAAACACGCTTTTCTAACCTGATGGGCCAAGTCATAATAATTTGAGGGCTTGCCCTAGTATGCTTAGTATAAGTCTTTTTCAAAAATGGGGTTTTTAGCATAATAATCAATCCAAAACAGTATTAATGACTGTCCAGTTTGAAACCTTCTTTTCATTCTTTAGCAATTGTTGCCTTATCTACTGTTATGTGAATTTTTGAGAATACTGATTTGGGGCCAGAGCTATAGTACAGCATGTAGGGCACTTACCTTACACATGGCTGATCAGGGTTTAATCCCCAGCATCCCATATGTTCCTCTGAGCACATCAGAAGTAATTCCTGAGTGCAGAGCCAGGAATAAGTTCTGAGCACTGCCAGGTGTGCCTCACCCCCTAAATAAAAGAATACTGACTTTATTTGATTTTTGTTTTGTATATTATAGCCATGCCCTGCGTGCTAAAGGATCACTCCTGGCAATGCTCAGGGGACCGTATGGTGCTGGGAATCAAACCCAAGACACCTGCATGCAGAGGCTTGAGTTCTCTACTCAGACCCAGAGTACTAACTCTGAAAAGTATGCATGAATTACTTTGTTCGGAGACTTGGCAAAACCAAATGTATTTCACACTTTTCCCTCCAAGATAGATGTTTAAGGTTATGTTTGTCTGTTACATTTCTAAATTTTATAGGGAGGAAAAGAACATGTGTTGTATATTTGTTCATTCATATAAGTATTTATTGAGTATATATCATAGTCTAATATGATAGGTAACTAAAATACATTTTAAGTTAAGAAATTATTGGTTATAATTTTTCAGCTTGTGTGCATGATGATCATGTCTGTGGGCTTGAATTTTTTTTCTTTTCAAAAACAGCTATAATGGATTTCCAGTTCTTAGGAACAATTTATTTGAGAGACCTGAAGGTTTTCTGCAAACACGAAAGAGCAAGTTGCCTTCCAAAGCAAGTAATCCAGGCAGTCCGTCACCCATGTTCAGGAGAACCAAACAGGTGCTTTGAAAAGTTTTTATTCTTCCTGCAAAAGACACTCTTAACAAAAAGTAAATTTGGTTGTTGGCCTACCTTAATATTCTTTACTATTACACATGTAACTATTATTAGACTTTAGTGTTCCCCCAAACATTCTGAAGGTAATTTTGAATAATCTGACTTCAGAAAATTAACTTCACCATTCAGTTAACAAAAGATGCTTAAGAGTATAAATTTATGGGGCTGAAAGGCGCTTTCCTTGCACACAGCCCACCTAAGTATGATTTCTGGCCCTGCCACGAGTGATCCCTGAGCACAGAGTCAGGAGTCATCCTTGAGCACTGTGGGGTGTGCCCCCTCCCCGCTGCCGAAAAAAGTGTGAATTTATTAGTTGTATCCTTGCTGTTTTTCCCCTAGGAAATTAAATCAGCCCATAAAATTGCCAAGAGGTATTCGTCCATCCCGCAGATGTGGTCTCGGTGTCTGCTGAGGCACTGTTACGGGCTGTGGTTTATCTGTCTCCCAGCGTATGTGAAAGTCTGTCACTCGAAAGTCAGGGCTCTGAAAACCGCATATGATGTGCTCCGGAAAATGCAGTCAAAGAAGATGGATCCTCCCGATGAGGTGACAAATACTACTCAGAAAACTGTTTCATTCTAAACTTCTCCTCCCGGGTCTTTGTCTGGGTTCACTTTGAAATCCCTCTCTGCCTTCCTCCAGGTGTGCTACAGAATCCTCATGCAACTCTGCGGACAGTACAATCAGCCTGTACTTGCAGTCCGAGTGCTTTTTGAAATGCATAAAGCTGGTATTGACCCCAATGCCATTACATATGGTTATTATAATAAGGTAATTACTTTGATTCAGGGGAGGAGGGGATTACTTCACTGATTATGTAACCTTAACTTAAAGGCAGAAAAAATTACTGACGTGTTGATTTGGCATTTATTTTAGAGAACTTAAGATTATTTTGCAAATCAAGGAAGATTTGTTCGTTCAAACTTATACAAGCTCCTTTCATATTTTTTATCCAATGTGTGTTATCCCCTCTAAAAATTATTTCACTCATCATTTTATTTTGTTGAATGAATAGGCTGTTTTGGAAAGCACCTGGCCTTCCCGAAGCCGTAGTGGCGATTTTCTTTGGACAAAAGTAAGAAATGTTATTTTAGGAGTAGCACAGTTCAAAAGAGTGCTGAAGAAACACCGGCATTTATCACAAACAATTCTCTCAGGTAACTAAAGGTTTGAAGGGTGGATGTGGTTTGCTTTTTCATAAATATTTTTCATAAATAGTTTTTGCTACACATTTTTTAAATGTGTTTTATTTTAGTGAAGCAAGGTAGTTTTTTTACTGAAACTTGTTGAATAAAATGTGAGAGGAGAGGAAGAGGGGAAATGTGTTCAGGAGAGAACAGGCATCAAAATAACAGAGAGACAAGCAAGCAGGATGCATGTGCAAGGGAGAACAAAGGCTTGGAAAGCAAAGCCTGGAATTCCGGGTGGTTAAAGACCACATCTATTTTTTGTTTGTTTTTCTTATGATGGTTCTGGGAGGGGCGGGTTGCTCTGGCTCTGCACTCAGGAATTACTCCTGGTGGTATTCAGGGACTGTATAGGATGCTGGGGATAGAACCCGGATCAGCAGCCTGCTATACTATCGCTCCGGCCCCAGTACTACTCATCTTTAGAAATCTAAAATAGTTTGCAAATATTGAGTGTTTTCTAAGTTTTTATTACCCCAGAGCTCATTTACATATAATTCTTTTTGAAAAATGCCAGATTATATTTCCCCTTTTCCTCCCACTGCAACTGTTAAACCATCCGCCATTGCTGGTCTTATTTTAGGATATCAATATTCAGCATCAGCTCACAATCATTTTCTCTGTGTAGTTCTGTTTTGCTGGTTGAAAGGTACACTTCGTGTCCAATATTAACAAATCAGAGACAGGTGAGTGTACACCTGATGGCCTTGAGTAGTAAACCACTGTCACCTTGTGTTCTGAAGCAGATGGCAGTGACCTGGACACCGTTAGTCACGGCAGCATGGACAGTGCTCGTGGAACTCACACTATGGAACAGGCACCTTTGAGCACGGGTTTAATCAAAGTGTATGGTACTGAGGATAGAGCTAGTACAGGTCTGTGTGTGCTTATGTGTACATTTATGACAGTGCATATATATATATTTGTGGGGTGGGGGTCTGGGCCCACACCCAGCTGTACTCAGGGTTACTCCTGGCTCCTTTCTCAGCGATCTCTCCTGGCAGTGCTTGGGGAACCGTATGGGATGGTGGTGATTGGACCCTGGTCAGCCGCGTGCAAGGCAAGCGCCCGACCTCTGTACTATGACTCTGACCCTTATGACAGTGCATTTGACAAACTAGATTTGCTGGCCTGTCTTTTAGGCACTTGGTTTGCTGTAGAATTGAATATCTTTAACAAATTTAAGCAAGTAAAAGCAGTTTTATTCGTGATTTGACTAGAAAGGAAAGTGTGAAGGAAAGAAGTTACAATGTAATTTATTCAAGTATTTGATAATTGAGTTAGCTCTGGATAGCACTCATATCTCTTATCATTTTATTTGCTTAGGATAAATTCTTTGTAATAGTGAGAATGTTCTCAGAGGTGTTTGTTTGTTTGTTTTCCTTTTTGGGTCATACCCGGCGATGCAGAGGGGTTACTCCTGGCTCTGCACTCAACTGGCAGTGCTCAGGTGACCATATGGGATGCTGGGAATCGAACCCGGGTCAGTGCATGCAAGGCAAACGCCCTACCCGCTATGCTATCTCTCCAGCCCCACAGAGGTTTTTTTTTTTTTTTAAGAAACTTTAGCCCTCATCCGAATTATCAGTGTCATAGAAATATCACTGCCCTGTGTTTGATGTAAAATATTATTGTTATAGTGGCCAGAGCAATAGTACAGCAGGTAGGTTGCTCACTCACCTTGCACACACTCAGCCCAGGTTCAGTCCCTGGCACCTCGCATGGTACCTTGAGTCCATCAGAAGTAATCCCTGAGCACAGAACCAGGAGTAAGACAAAAGCACCACTAAGTGTGGTCCAAAAACAACAAAAATAATTATCTTACCATTAAAGAGGCTAGAGAGACAGTATAGTGAATAAGATGCTTGCATTTTGCATTGCACACAGCCAACCCCAGTTCAGTCCCTAGTACCATAGGGTCCCCCATAGCCATGAGGAGTGATCTCTAAGTACAGAGCCAGGAGGCTAGGGATAAGTCCTGAGCATACCCTGATGTGGTTGCCCCCCAAATAAAAACAATCAGTTATTATCATTGTGGGCAGCTGGTTAAAAGTAACTTTCTATACTGCATTATGTTTATATTTGCATCTTTTTATGAGCCTTAAAAGTATTGAATATATATAAGGTTTAAAGTGTAAAATATATAGAAAATGCATTCTAGCACTGATGATAATTTCATTAAAATGTAAATTTGTATATCTACTTTCTTTTAAGATTTATTAAAATGTATACCTTTAAAAGATAAATTACTGGGGCCTTGGAAGTAGTGCAGGATTAAAGCACTTGCCTTGCATGTGACCCTCCCGTGTTCAATCCTTGGTACCACGTGTGGTCCCCTAATCACTGGTAGGAGTGATCTGAGCACAGAGCTGGCAGTAAGCCTTAAGCACTGCTGGGTGTGGCCCCCACAAAAAAAAATATCTTAAAAGGGCATTAAAGTAAAAATCTAGTGGCATTTAATACAGTTCCTTTAGATAATTGTTTTTCAAGTTTTTTTTTAAACCACTCCATACATAGTCTTTCATATAGTTGTAACAAACCAGTGTGTTATAAATCTGGGAACTTGAGATACAAATAGAAAGATTAAGTGTTTTCTATTCTCATCTCCCATAGGACAGAGTACTCATGTTCAAACCAGAAGATAGCTCAAGGGACCGGAGGAGCACAATTTTTGTTTGTTTGATTTTGTTTGTTTTGTTTTTATTTTGGAGGCTACACCCAGTGATGCTCAGGGCTTACTCCTGGCTCTGCACTCGGGTATTATTCCTGGCAGTGCTTGGGGGACCATATGGGATGCTGGGGATCAAACCTGGATCACTCCAGCTGCTATCCAGAAAAATTTCTATACACAAACAGGCATGAATATGTTGCTTCTGATAAGCAGCACAGGATTATTTTTATTTTTTTCCAGGTGGCCAGTCTGATCTTGGATATAATTCATTATCCAAAGATGAAATTATACCAGGGACTACATCTAGTGAAGACATTCAGGGAGAAAAAGATAAGAAAGGGAGTGATTCTAGTTCCGGTAGGTGTGTTCAAGTTGATATTGTATAAAACTGTGAACTTAAATTGATTGAAAATATGAGAGGTTTTATTTAGGAAAGTGCTAAGTTTATTTTCTACTTTTCCGTAATGCCTTCTTTGATCCCTTAATGAATCCTTGCTAACCCTAATATTCCAACACATCATATTTCGTGTGTGAAGTATCTAGCCTCTGTGGTTAAGTAACCCTTCAATTAAATACTGCTCTTTGTAGTAAAAATATGTTTGTTCAAATAATAGTTCTTTCCTGAGATTTAACAGTATTTTTATTTAAACCTCTTTTTTAAATATAGGCACCATGATTTGTAGCAGTGGTAATATTAACGTTTCAGAAATACAGTGTTGGTACACCCTCACCACCAGAGTACCAGGATCCCTGTCGCCATCACTAGATCCTCACGCAGCCCCCCCAGCACCATCCCTGCCCCCCCCCACACACACACACACCATAGGTGTCAGGAAAACCTTCAGGATCAGTTTTCAGCAGCCATTGTTTTTCCCCTTTGTTTCTTTATATTCCACATGTGCATACATTAATCTGCTTTTTATCCTTCCTTTCACTCACTTTGCTCAGTATGATTGCTCTCCAAGTCGCAAGATTTTGTCTTCTCTTACAGTGGCCTAGTATTCCAATATGCATCTATACCACAATTTCTTCATCCACTTGTCTGTTCTCGGGTACTTGTTTCTGGATCTTGGCTATTACACACAATGTTGAGTTAACATAGGGGTGTGTATATCTTTTTGCATGGTGCTTTTGTACTCTTGAGATAGTTGCGAAGAAGTAAGATCACTGGGTAGCATGGAAGCTCTGTACCTGATTTTCGGGGAAGTCTCCACACTGATTTCCATAGAGGCTGAACCAAATTCTCTTCCACAAATAGGAGATGAGGGTTTCTTTTTCACCATATCTCCATCCGAAACTGGTCGCTTTTGGTCTCTTAAGTGCATGCATTCTAAGTAGTGATGTCTCATAATCATTTCTGTTTGCTTTTCTCTGGTAAGTGATTGAAAAACACTTTTTCAGACTCCTCTTGACCTCCATATATTTTCTTTGAGGAAGTATGTGCTTAGCTACTCTCCATATTTTAATAGTAGCTTTTATTTGTGTGCTTTAAGTTTTGTGAATGCTTTATAATCTTAGATATTGGCCTGTTGTCAGATGTGGTGTGGTGAATGAATATTTTGTTTGTTTGGTTGGTGGGTGTTTAGATTGATTGCCAGGATTTACTCCTGACTCTGCACTCAGGTATCACTCCTGGCAGTGCTCAGGGGACCAGAGGGGCATCTGGGGATCAAACCTAGGTTGACTGCATGCAAGGCAAGCACCTGACCAGCTATACTACCTCTCTGTCCCCTGAGTATTTTCTAGTCATTGTGCCCTGCAGAAACTTTTTTAGTCCCTTGGTAAATTTAGCTCTGTTGACAGAGTCTTAGGAGCTGTTTTTATTGACTCTATTTCTTTATTTCTCTGTATTTCACATATGAATTACATCATCTGGTACTTTTTTTCCCCTTTCTTGGCTTCTTCTGTTTAACATGACACCCTGTGGTTCTACCCCAGTCATAGAGAAATGGAAGATTTAATCCTTTTGTTATAGCTGAGTAATAGCCCATCATGTGTATACATGACAATCTTTTTATCCACGCAGCACCTAAGGGTGTTGGACGCATGGGTTGTTTCCAAAATTTGGTTGTTGGAAATAGCACTGCTGTGAATATAGGTAAACTTGCATCTTTGCGAATCGGTGTTTGTGTTCCCTTGAGATACCGGCCAGTGACAAGTATTTCTGTTTATGCCTCCTGTCATATGTAGATTTTATTTTAACATTTTTATTTTAATCTTTACAGTGTCAGAGAGTGAGAGTGCAAAAGGAAGTGCCGATTGTCTTCCTAAACTCAATTACCAAAGTACTTCCAGTATAGTTCGCTCAAGTAAGAACAGCGCTGAAAAACTATCAGGAGAAAGTGTGGGTGAGTTGAATGGTCTTTTCTCAGAATAACTTGCATTTGTATTGCTAGTGAATATTTCTTTAAGCCTTCATTCTCTGTCATTATTGTTTTAATATGTATTTGTGCAGACTTTCATGATAGAACTTTATAGTTTGAATTTTTTATTTTATACTGTAGAAATATAAAATAAGATTCAGAATTCTAATAATATTCCTTGTTCAAATTTTTATCCTGGTAAAATATAGGGATAAACCGATAAACCATGTACTATCTTTTGAATTTGTCCTCTTGGGAGTTTTCAGGTAAAGGTAAAGGCCCTCCCGTTGATCGTCGATTTGCTCGAGCGGGCCCAGTAACGTCTCCATTGGAGACTTTGTTGTTACTGTGTCTGGGAGTTTTCAGAAAAGGGAAATAAGATCAAGCAAGGTATCCTGACTTGGGAGAACCATACATGGAGCCTGTTTTAAAATGAATCATGTAGTTTCTTTGACTTCCTATAGTTCCTGGTTTGTTTGTTTGTTTGTTTGTTTGTTTGTTTTTAAAGAAATGAGTCCTTCAGATAATTCAAATAACTACCTAATAATTTTTTTCCTTTTAAAGTATTTTTTGTAATTGTTTTATACTTAATACAACAATCCATGTACTAGTAAGAGAGGATATTAGCACTGTCTTAAAGATGAGACAACAAAGACATAATCTGTCGGCAGGTCACATAAATCACCAGTTTCATGAAAAGATCAGTTTAGGATCTAGGATAATACTTGGTCTCACATATGTTTTTTCCCACCAGAACATATTTTGGTGCTGGGATAGAGGGATCAAATTGATTCAGAGTTTCTTGCATAATGATGTATTATAGGATCACATTATTTTATTTTTGTATCAGCTCAATTTTGTATCATGTAATACTCTTTTGAGAAATATTTGAAAGCCATTACTGCCAATCTGAAATGTGTTTGCAATCAGTCTTGCTACAAGTTGTTGGCAGTACAGTACCTTGGGGATGTGCAACTATGGGTAGGGTATTTGCCTTGCATGTGGCACACCTAAGTTCAGTCCATGATACCCATATGGTTCCCCCATGTGCTCCAGGAGCACAGAACCAAGAATAAGCACTGAGCATCACCAGGTGTAGCACAAAGAAACAAAAATATATTTATATATTTTTGAGACACGTGGAAAACATTAATTAATTAATTAATTAATTTCTAATTCCGTTGCTCATAAAGAAAGGTTTGTTAGAGCATTGCTCATAAATTTATGTATTATTGATGGCCACTTCTGGTCAGTGACAGCAGTGAATAGTCACCACATGGACTATATGGCCTGGGAAGACTACTTACTCTCTAACTCTCCGCCTGGGGCCATAGCTGACAGCACTCAGGGGCAGCTCTTGGCTCTGTGCTCAGGAGTCACTCCTCACTGTGCTCAGGTAACTATATGGATTGCTGGGGACCAAACTAAGGTCAGCCGCCTATAAGACAAGCCCCTTGATCCCTGAACCATCACACTCCAGCCCCAGCTCTCCAGCTCTTGGCAGAAAATGTTTGCAGACCCCTGCCCTGGCTATCAAAAAGTTAAATGATCTGCAACTTATTTCATACTTCTTTGTTAAATAATGATGGTTATAACATCGAACTTTTTCCTGCAGGTATCTAGAAATTGCTCCACTACCATTTAGTCCTTCCTCACCAGTGTCTAATTGTCCCTTAGGTCATGTGGCACTGGCATTCTTTGCTTTGCTGTTTTGTCATTGTTCTCTGTGTACATCTTGTATCCACAGGCCCCTGGTAGCCAGTAACCCCATTGACCATCCAAGGCCCTGGACTATGTCCTGCTCTTCTCCTCAGGTCTTGCTCTTTTCCTTAGACTGGCATATGTGAACTTGGTCTTCCAATATGGCTGTGATCCATCATCTACCCTTTGATCCTGACATTGTGTCCGAGTGGCTGGCCGAGCATACCTGTGGTTATTCTCTGTGCTTACAAGGCAGTTTTTAAAAACGTCTAAGATGTTTTTCTAGGTGTGAATTAGAACTGCTTGAGATTTAATGTTTCTGACTTGAAAACTTTCCCATCTGTTAAGTACTAAAGGTTCATCACTACTGCCAAAAACTACATAATAGGGTTTATAGGAATAGTTGCTTTCCAGTACTTTTTTCTTACGTTCTAGTATATTCTGGGGTTTAAAATATTTTTTCATCTTATTTTTGTTCTTCTGTATAATATGTGAATATTTTCGGTAGACATATCTGATAGCTCCAAAGACAGGGGAATAGAATAACCAAAGAATTTTTTTAATGTTTCATTGAAAGTGAAGTAAAAAAATCAAAATTCTATAATTCACGAATGAATTTAACATTTCAATAAATATATATTGAATTGCTGAGAGTTAAAACAAGAAAATTTATAAAGTACAAAGACATCCTGAAATTCATTTCTATTCCTAGTTTAAATATGTTCCAACTTTTTATCTGTGGTACCATTTTTAACTGTAAAATGTCGTATTCCACTCGGATACGCTGGGTTTGTGTATTGGTGGTAATTACTCCACCTCAGACAACATTCGTTCACTAAAAATGTGTTTATTGCTTGGTTTTTTGGAGTCACACCTGGCAGTGCCTGGGACTCCTCTGAACTCTGTACCTGGGGTCTGCTCCAAGCAGTGCCAAAAATCAAACCCAGGGACTGGAGAGATAATACAGCAGATAGGACGCTTGTCTTGCATGCAGACAACCAGGTTTTATCACCAACATCCCAGTTGGTCCCCCGAGTCCTGCCAGGACTGATCCCTGAGTACAGAGCCAGGAATAAGTCCTGAGCAATGCTGAGTGTAGGCAAAAAAAAACTAAACACACCCAGACACACACACACACACACACACACACACACACAACAAAAAACAAACAAACAAAAAAACAGAACTGAACCCAGGCTTCCTGCTTACAAAGCACACACTCAGTGTTGTCCTTCAGCTCTCTCCAGCCCTGTGTTTGATTTTGGTTTCAGTAATAATTTAATGATTTCTGAGCCCCTATGATGCTGCCATGTCCCAGGTGCTACTGAGGATGTAATTAGGAACAGAAACTAAGCCGTGTCCCCATCTCCGTGGAGAAAGCAGATGGGAGGAGGCGAGCATGAATCATAGCAATCCCTGGTGGCGAGGCTAAGGTCTGTGGCGAAGAGCTGTAGGCTGCGCTGACGGTCCGTAATCTACATGTCCTTGGCCAGGGAGAGAATGGCCAGAGAAGGCTTCCTGGAAAATATGACTTTTTTTGTTTGTTTTGGTTTGGAATACGAGTAAACTTTGTCTTTCTGCTCTGCTGTTTTGTTTTGGTCCCCGGTAGTGCTCAGGGATTGCTCCTGGCTCTGCACTCGGGGATCACTTCTGACTGGCTTTTGGGACACTTGAGTGTGGGCCCTGCTTGTGTGGGCACCACAGCCAGGTGTGTGCCAACACTGCAGCACAAGAAACATGTGCCACAGCTCCACAGCTGAAGGGCGTCACCCCAGAAATCACAGTTAAGCTGTGATCATCCCCCACAATAGCAGAAGGAAAGAAAGTGGGGGAGACAACCTGAAGGGCACTAACGTATCATCCAGGAATTCCGTCCGCTTTAAATCTCAGAAAACCAGCTTTGGAGCAATAGTACAATGGGTAGGGTGCTTGCCTTGCACTTGGCCCACCTGGCTCAATGCCCAGAACCCCGTATGGTCTCCCAAGTCCACTAGCAGTGATTCTGAGTGCAGACTCGGGAGAAATCTCTGAGCACTGCCCGGTCTGTCTGTCTGTCTGTCTGTCTCTCTTTCTCTCGCTCTCACTCTCATTCTCTCTCTCTCTCTCTCTCTCTCTCTCTCTCTCTCTCTCTCTCTCTCACACACACACACACACACACATGTGTGTTAAAACTGGCTAGAGAGAACTCCACAGACTGAGAACATGCTTTATATGCAAGAAGTCTGGGTTTAACCCCTGGCACCGCTGCCCCCCCCCCCCCCCAACACTGCCAGGAGCAGCCTCCAAGTACAGAGCCAGGAGTATCCCCTGAACATGCCATGTGCGGTCCAAAATCAGTAAGTAATAATCATGTGAGACTGCATGGAAGCAGTTCAGAGGCCGTCTCTAACTCACAGGCATGTTTACCAACCTCTGGAACAACTGAGTGATCAAGCTTGTGTGCAAGGCATACAACTGACTCTGTGATGAACCTTTGCACGCGCATTTAAATGTAATCCCTGTGGTCTTTGGGTTATAAGATTCCCACAGCCTTTGCTGATGGTTAGTCTATTGAACAGAAGGGATAATCTCTATTTTCCCCTTGATTGTGCTAAGAGTTGAACCCAGAGCCTCGCATATGCAAGTAAGGGCTCTCCCACCAAGCCTCACCCTCTCCACAGAAAGTGTGTTCTTGGTTTCTTACATCCTAGTTATAAACTGATGTAAAAAAAAAAAAAATACTAGTGAACTTTGTCTTCCTGCTCTGCTGTTTTCCTTGTTAATGACTTAGTTGTTTGGTTTTGGTTTGGGAGAGTCATACCTGGCAATGCTCAGGACTTATTCCTGGTTTTCACTCAGGAATTACTGCTGGTGGTGTTCAGGGGACCATATGAGGTACTGGGAATTGAACCCTGGGTCATTCACTTGCAAGGCAAGCGCCCTCCCCCTGTACTATGGCTCTGGCCCTGTTAATGACTTATATGTACTAAGGAGTGGGCACTCTTCGTCCTCTGTTTTATATCAAATCCTTTTACCTGAATGTATCATCTGCTGGGCAAAAGAAAGATGAATATTTGGAAATTGTCTGGTTACAGAGAGCTAATTCACTTGGATTGGGCATGAAAGAATGTTTAATAGTATCATACCTAGACTAATCTTTAGAAGATTGCCATGTAAGTACAATTAAAGTGATCAGAAATACAGACTTTTGGCTCGCTCTTCAGCCCATGTGCCGCCTTGATCCTGTATCTCACCCACTTGTCTCCATGTACTTGTTGCTCTTTGCTTGCTTTCCTCTCTGGAGAAGCCTGTGCTGTCTCTTGAACACATACTTCTCACTTCCTCTCCCTTCACACCTAAATAGGTTTCAATAAAAACTATCTTGCTTTACCAAAAGAAAAAAAAGAAAAAGAAAAATTTCTGCTTTCAGTATTAGTGCTTGAATGATTTGTAAAAAGAACCGAACAGTGTTGTTTTTGACTATAAAACAGCCATTTTCCACCCTTGCCAGCGCATCCTGCCATGTGTCTGTCCAGTGAGGAGAGCCACTTGTCCTGGAAACAGGGCGAGACCTGAACGGCGCCTCCGCCCTGGTCCCCATCACACACTGCACCTTCTTGGGGAACCTGGGGCTGAACCGTCTAGATGGCCTACTGCTGGCTAGGTCAGGGTTTTGTACTTAGCAGAGCACCTCCCTCACCTCAATCTATTTGAAACTCAACCATTGATACAAAGGTTTGTTAATAAAAGAAAGAGAAAAGACAAGAAAATGACCATTTCTTTTGACTGGCATGGCTTGCAGTCAATCCATAGACATAAATTTATTGAGTTACATTGCAGTCTTAAGGATTTAGGATTTTAAAATAACTTTCATTGATAAAAATAACATAGCTTTCTTTGGCTTGGTTCCATACTTTTGGTTTGGTTTTTCAGCTTTACAGACAGAAAAAGCAGGCTCAGATTCTAACATGCAGAACCTCAAGGTTATTTAGGACAGTCACCATTCTCATCAATTCAGAAGAATTAATATAAACTTGCAATTTTTTATTACATCCTCATAATCTAGTTCACTAATTAGTGAATACTAATGTTAATTTTTTTAAATTTTGAGTCCACACATGGTGGTGCTCAGGGGTTACTTCTGGCTCTATGCTCAGGGATCACTCCTGGCAGGCTCAAGGGATCATACTGCGGTGCTGGGGATCCCACATCTTGGGTCTCCCACATCTCAAGGATATGAGATGCCAGCCACCCCCCAGAATGGGGAGGCACAGACTGGCCTTTGCAGAGTTTTTCTCCCAAGCTGCCTCCACGCGGGGCTTTCTACCTAGAAGAAAGTCTGTTCCTGTTGTTGTCAAGGAAATGAGTTTGAGCTTTTTGGTGGTCCGTTTTCTTGTTCTTATTACAACCCTTTGCTCCTGCTGAAGCTTCTCTCCACAGGGATCCAGCCTGCTCTAGTCGAGGGTTGGCAACAGTTGGTCTTATTAGACCCCAGTTCCTGTGTCCACAAAGCAGATCTGTGAGTCTGGCCATAATGTGTCTCTCTGTTAGGGTGAGGAGCAGAGTAACTTCTTCAAACCCCAATCTGGTTGCATCACTTCCTAAAAACTTACTGCTATTCTCACCCCCATTTATGTGCCTGCTTCAGGTAACTTTGGGTGTAGTGATTAATCATTAGGAGTGCTTGGTTTGTTTTTTTTTCCCAATCCATAAGAGCTTTCAGAGTGATTGCACTGCACTGTCCTCCCTTTATTCATCGATTTGCTCAAGCAGGACCAGTAACGTCTCCATTGTGAGACTTCTGTTACTGTGTTTGGCATACCGAATATGTCACGGGTAGCTTACTAAGCTTTGCCGTGCAGGTGAGATACTCTCGGTAGCTTGCTGGGCTCTCCGAGAGGGGTGGAGGAATCGAACCCAGCTCAGCCGGGCCAGCCGCTCACAAGGCAAACGCCCTACCACTGTGCTATCGCTCCAGCCCTTTGGAGTGATTATGGTATATAAGTGAAGTACACAGTACTGTTTGTCAATAAAAACATTCATTGAGTGCTATATTGCCATTTCAATAACTAGTGTTTGAATCCTTAAGACATCTTGCATTGCAGTTGCCTTCTCCATAGCTAAAAATGCTTTTCTTGTATTTCAGAAAGCACCTCAGACCTGCTCTTAATATCATCTCTTAAGAATGCAAACGAAATAGGAAGCATTCCAAGTAGATGCTTCAGGAAAAGACATAAAAGTGACAATGAACCTAATTTGCAATCACAAATGTCCTGGGGAAATCGGAACCACAGTCTCAGTGGTGGAGTTCTGATGGGACTTATGCTCAACAGAATTAACCAGGAAGCAGACCCTGGTGATATGGTAGAGAAATTAGGAGCCGATGCAAAGATCCTCTCAAATGCTATCACAGAAAACACAAGGCCAAATAGCCTTGATATTGGAAAGCCGCCTTTAAGATCAAAAAGAGACAGTCTCGAAAAGGAATCCAGTGATGAGGACACCCCTTTTGATGGTTCTCATTCTCTCATGGAGAAAGTAGATTCACCCGTGATTTTTGACCTCGAAGACATAGACAGTGAAACCGATGGAGCGAAAGTGGGGTATGTTATGAGCCAGCACCCCAAGAAACTTCAGCATATGAACAGCAGCTTTTCGGTGAAGCCTTTTGAAAAAACCAATGTGGTGACGGGATTTGACCCCCTCTCTCTTTTGGTTGCTGAGACAGAACAACAGCAAAAAGAGGAGGAGGAAGAGGAGGAAGACGATAGCAAAAGCGTTTCAACCCCCTCAGCTCGGCGGGATCTAGCTGAGGAGATTGTGATGTACATGAACAACATGAGCAGCCCTTTGACAAGCCGGACCCCAAGTGTTGATTTACAGCGGGCATGTGAGGATAAAGGGACCACAAAGAAAAGTCCGACTTTGGTCAAGACGTGTAGGAGGTCGAGCCTGCCTCCGAATTCTCCCAGGCCAGCCAGGCTTACCAAATCTAAAAGTTACACCAAAAGTGACGACAGGCCACGGGATAGACTCTGGTCTTCTCCAGCCTTCTCACCAACTTGTCCATTTCGGGAAGACTCTCAGGATGCATTAACCCATTCGTCACCTTCCTTTAATTTAGATACCCTGATCGTACCTAAATTGGATGTTCTGAGGAACAGTATGTTTACTGCAGGAAAAGGAGTTGCAGAGAAAGCAAGCAAATGGTATTCAAGATTTGCCATGTACACCACATCATCTAAGGTAAGTTTTGTCAGTATTTTCTGTTTTCCCTGTTTTTCCTCCCTTACCACCGAAAGTTCTGTATATGCAGTAATGTCTGTTCTTACCATTATCCTTATACCACTTCACAGAAAGGATTGTTGAGGTGAAGAAGTTTGTAAATATCAAAATAATTTAACAGTGCTGAATTTTTGTTGGTTTTGCTGTTGGTTTTAGGGCCATGCTTGGAGGTGCTCTGGGGTTTGTCCTGGCTCTGCACTCAGGAATCACTCCTGGCAATGCTTGGGAGATCATCTAGGATGTCAGGGATTAAACCAGGGTCTGCTGCATGCAAGGCAAGCACCCTACCCACTGTACTATCTATTCAACCCCTCACAGTGCCTGAATTACAAAAATAAATCTAGAAAAAGTATCAGAATTTGAGCTTGAGTAATAGCTTAGGTTATATATAGCATTTCAGTCTGAACATATTTGGAATAAAAAATTAGCTTACTCAGCTTTATAACTTCCTTCATTACTTCTTTTCCAGGTAGAGAATTTAGAACACCTTCAAAATTTCCTTTTTTTTTAAAATTTATTTATTTATTGAATCTCTGTGGGAAAAATTACAAAATTTTCAAGTTTAGGTCTCAATCATGCAAATATCAATCACAATTCCCTTTACCAATACTTATTTTTCACCACAAAGAACCCCAATAAACCCCCCCCAATCCCCCCCCCAATGTCTGTGGGGTAGATGAATTCTAGTTAACACTCTGTCTACTTTGACTAGCTTCATTGTTTTGATAAAAGTTGCACCATTATTATTTAGACTTTACCCCCCACCCCCCCGCAAACTCAGCCATGCTGAAAAAGCATTGTGAAATGATCTACTTTCTACAGCTGGGTTCAAGAATTAAATGGATTTCTGCTATTTTATTTTGGATTTCTGCTATTTTATTAATTAACCCTGCAAGTATTTCTATTGAGAGTCAGATAATTAAGAGATTGGTCTCTGTGCTTCTGGGGCCGTGGCCGTGCCGGAGAGCCGCTCGTGGGGGGCAACTGGTGACCTCGGTCAGGCGTGAAGGACGGGCCCTTCAAAATTTCTTAGGCAGATGTAGAATAGTATTTCTCTTCATAAGAATAGTATTTCTTGGGGCTGGAGCAATAGCACAGCAGGTAGGGTATTTACCTTGCATGTGGTCAACCTGGGTTCAATTCCCAGCATCCCATATGGCCCCTGAGCACCACCAGGAATAATTCCTGAGTGCAGAGCCAGGAGTAACTCCTGTGCATCACCAGGTGTGACCCAAAAAGAAAAAAAAAATAATAGTATTTCTCTTCATAGGAATGGTTTAGCTTGGAGTAGGCCATATGCAAAAAAATAATAATAATAAGATGAGATCTAGAGAACATCTGTTTAAAGTCATCAGAGAACCACTAGAGTGGTAATAAAGTAGAGGAACCAAATTCAGAGAAAAGCATCCCCGGAGGACTCAACACTGCTTTCTCTGTAAGGTCATTTGCTTAAACAAAGCAAAGAGCCAGATGCTGAGTATTTGGACTTTGCCTTATCAGGGGACTGTGGAGAGCGTGCCAGCAGACCTTTGGGTTCTTGGTGGAGCAAGAGCATCAAGGTCAGACATCTGAGGGTCCGCAGATACACGTGATTTTTCCTTTTTTTTTTTTCCTTTGAAGCAGCATCCATTTATGTGGGTACTTATGACACAGGGAGCTAAAACAGGAAGCAGGAAGTCTGACAAATGAGTTTGCAACAATTGCAGGGCCCTAGAACTGCAGTAACTTTTCTTTTTAATTTTTTTATTTTATAAAGTAGTTCACAATATTTGATTTCACTTACCATTCAAACACCAATGCCACCACCATTACACCTTCCCACCATATTTCAGATGTTTCCATCCCGAACCCCCAACCCCTGCCCCAAAACAGAACCCAAATAATATATTTTGTATTGTTTTCTGAAAATGCTACAAAAAAATTATCCTTAGAGGAAAGAGGGTGAAGATTGTTGTATTTTACCCAGGGGCCATTAAGCCCTTCTATAAGAGATCACTATCGACGTGTTGAAAAAAAAATACTTCCCTCTAAGGTTGGTTGTCTCCTATTTTGAACCCTGTCAAATGTGGTGCAATACTCTTGGAGTATGGGTAGTGTATGTGATATGAAGTACCAAGGAATAGATGCACTTGTGGATGAGGCTCAGCCCTACCATGTGGAGAGCAGCCGTGGAAGCAGCCAGAGGTGGCTTATGGGCATGACTGCTGAGTCACCAGAGAGAGGAGGATACAGGTGGAGGGACTCCGTTCCCAGTCCCGTTGAACCCAGGGATTGCAGTACTTGGGAAACAGGTCCAGTTTGGGGAGCACTACTGGATTCTTTGAAGAGGAGTCCTTCACCACTGTTTCTTCGGAGCACTAGCAGGCCAGGGTCTGTCCCTTACACGAAGGTGACCAGCTTTTCCTTCTTCCTTCTCTTCTGTCTAGAAGAGATTGTGTCCTTTCTAGAATAGAAAATAATCTGGTTACTTCTGATTTTTTTATCTACAGTTTCTATATCACTGTCATCCCATTGTTCATCAGTTTACTTGAGTGGCGCCAGTAATCTCTCCATTTGTCCCAGCCCTGAGATTTTAGCTGCCTCTCCTTGTCTTTCCCAACGGTGCCGTATTGGAGGCTCTTTCAGGGTCAGGGGAATGAGACCTGTTATTGTTACTAGTTTTGGCACATCAAATATGCCATGGGTAGCTTGCCAGGCTCTGCAGTACGGGCAGGATACTCTCAGTAGCTTGCTGGGCTCTCCAAAAGGTAGGTGTGTGTATATATATATATATATATATATATATATATATATATATGTATATGTATATATACACACACATATATATATTTCTCTCTATGGTTTGTTGCCTACTATCTGAACGCAATCAAATGTGGTGTGGTAGTTATGGAAGAAGTGGCCACATCGTCCAGGAATATGTTCACTCATATGTAAGGCTCGGCCCGAGCATGTGGAAAGTGGCCTAGAGCATGGTGGGTGGTTGGGTAGTGGAGGTAAGCTGCCAGAGCTAGGTCCCTTGGGGCAGGGAGGACTCTAACCCCCCACACACACCCAGAGCACCCCGAGTGAAAATAGCCTGGTGCAGAGTCCAGTGGCATGGTTATGGGAGCCTTATTTTATGCTCCCTTCTGGGAGAAGCAGCCATGAGTTCTGGAGGGTGGTCAGTGAGATCTGACATCGGCAGGAGATGGCTTATAGGTGTGACCCCTGGGTTGCCGGAGATTGGGAAAAGCAGGTAGAGGATCTCTGCTCCCGAGTCTCATTGAGCCGAGTCCAAGGTCACAAAGTTCCACATTACCTGGGTTCCATGGGACTTTACTCATGCGTGAGGCTCTCCCCAAGTATCCCGGAAAGCCGCCTGGAGCATGGCTGCGGTTGGGTAGTAGAGGTTGGCTGCCGGGGCTGGGTCCCTTGGGGTGGGGAGGACTCTCACCTGCCCCCCTCTGGGGCGCCCCAAGTGAAAACAGCCTGGCCGCCACGTCTGGTGGCATGGTTCTGGAGCCCTCATTTTATGCTCCCTTCTGGAAGAAGCAGTTTCTATCAGTTTAAAATAGTCACACCAAGAGACAGGAGAATCTTTTAAAATAAAAGAAAATAGAGGCTTGAGAGATATTCCAGTGGGGAGAGCTCTCACCTTGCGTGTGGCCAGCGTAGTATTGATCCCTGGTATCCCATATGGTCCCCCAAACCCCACCAGAAGTGACCTCTGAGCACAGAAACAGGAATAAGCCCTGAGCACCACCAGTTGTGGTTTAACCCCCCTCCCCCCCCAAAAAATGAAAACAAACCATCAGGCAATCTAAATTTTTAATTAGCAGTAAACTTGAAATAATTCTAATATGTTCAAGAAAACAGAGGAAAAGATGGGGGAAATACCTGCAAAGATAGTAGTTAATTAACTATTTAAACAAATTAAGTATGAATCTCAGAGCTGAAAAAGGAATGAATGATATAATAGTTGTATTTGACAGCAGAGAAAACACAGAAACAGGTTAGTAAATAAGGTGAATCAGTAGAAACAGCCACTGACAGGGGAAAAAGGGAAAATGCAAGGTGGATGCAAGGTTCAGTGTAAATGCCTAACACTGGTGTCTTGAGTTCCAGGAGAAGAAAATGGAATAGAAGGAACCTTTAAGAAGTTGGTTGCCCAGAGTGGTTGTTTACCACCATCATTGTCATAGCAATCCCTCCTCTGTTGTATGACTGAAACTCAATTGTGAACGACTTTGTAACTGTGTATCTCATACTGATTCTATTTTAAAAATTTTTGATAAAATGAAAAATTAAAGTTAGTTTCAGGATCAGTAAGATAGTCCAGAGATTAAGGCCTTCCATGTGGTTGCCTCGAGCAGTACTAAGGGGGGACCCTGAGCACAGTAAGCTGTGGCCCCAAAACAAGACAGAAAAGCTTCATTTTAGGAGCAGTGGACTCTGGTCGCCCACATCCCAAAGCTGAATGCCATCTCTCCTTTACTTAATAGTGCTCCACCCTATGGTTGCTCTGTCCTTCTAGGCTATTTAGTGCTTACTAGCGCGCTCTCTCCTCTTCCCCCTCCCCCTCTCTCTTTCTTTCTCTGTCTCTCTTTCTCCCTCTTTCTGCCTGTCTCTATCTCAGTCTGTCTCCCTCCCTATCTCTCTCTCTCCCCCCTCCCACCACCCCTGCCCCCAGAGACCTCAGTGAGATGAGGGTGGGCTTTCTATGCACCAACAAGATATGAACGTCTTCCCCCAATAAAACTTTCAAAATAAGTTGATTATATGAAATAAAAATTAATGGCAACAAAACCAAACTTAGGCACTTAAAATTGAAATTGATAAATTGAACTGGAGAAATAGTACACGATGTAAGTAAGGTGCTGGCCTCGCACAGAGCTGACCTGGGTTCGATCCCCGGCACCACATAGAGTGTCCCCAGTCCCACCGGTAGCCATCTGAGTGCGGAGCCAGAAGTAAACCCTGAGAACCAGTGGGTATGGCCCAAATAACAAAAATAAGTAAATCAATGAATTTTAGAATGGAATACAAAGAGAAACTCTTCAGAGGAATCTGAAGTGTTGGGAGCTCCCGTGGCAGAGCACGTGACTACCGTGTGAGGCCCCAGGTTGTCTCTTGTACCCCATGTCCCTTCCCCACGCCCTGTGGCTGTCACCTAGTGGCCCTCCAGCACCACCAGCCAGCCTGACCACCAAACCATGAGACCTTCACACATCATCAGGAATGACCCTGAGCCCCCAAGCTCCAAGGGGTGTAGTCCTCATCTCTTTTTTTTAATGGATTGAGGGGGTGGAGTTCAGAGAATAAAATGTGTTGATCTCCAAAGGCACATCAGTACTACCCCGAGTCCGGCCTCTGGACAGAAGCTGTGTTGTCAGGAGTCCCTGGGACAACGTCTTTATCATACTAAAAGGAAACAGTGGCCAACCTCTTGTTTTATACCCAAGAAAATGCCTTTTAAAATTGGGGCAAGGCAGTTTAATATTCTGGATTTTCTGGAGCGCACAAGCACAAACATCTCCAAAATACGCAACACTGACATCCCAGTAGTAGCACACCAGATTGGACGGTTTGTAACACAGAAACCAGCCAGTCTCCGCTAACAAAAGCGTGAACACAGAAGGCTTAACTTGCAGCAACAGCTTAGTAAACCCTCAGACAAGGACCTATTGTCCCCATGGTGAGATACAGTAGTCTTCACAGATTTTCTTCTATGAAACTATTTTTAATCAATCCGTTAGCCGTGTAATGGTAACAAGCAGTATAAATTATTGTGGGCCTACTATGGAGGCAAGCTTGAGGGGTGGCTGGCAAAATGGAGACACTGGTGGAGGAAAGGTGACCATAGTGGTGGGATTGATACTGGAATGTTGAATGCCTGTAACAAATCATCATGATCAACTTTGTAAACCTCAGTGTTTAAATAAAGCGGGGAGGGCACAGGGCAGGGGACAAGAGGGACTGAGAATGTAGCTCAGTGGTAGAGCATTTACCTTGCATGTTTGAGGGTCTGGGTTTGATCCTTGGTACCACAAAACAAACAAGAAATTACAATTGAAATGAAACTTAGTTGACTGCTTGCTGAAACAAAAGCATCAGTGTTCTTCAAGCAATGATACCAATCAGGCTACATAACATAACATTCTCAAAGTACAAAATAAAATCCAAACTCACTTCATTTAGAAAGAGCCAAGTAACTGTGCCATATTCTCAAGGGACGCACAAGTCCTGAGATGACCCAGAAATTGGAATTATCAGTTGAAACTTATATTAAATTCAATCCCCTGAGGTCAAGAAAACACATATTTGAATAAGTCAGAGGACTTAGCAAGAATTTTTTTTTTAATTTTAATTATAACTAGGGGCTGGAGAGACAGTACTGCAGGTAGGGCATTTGCCTTGCATAATTTGGCTGACCCAGGTTCAATCCCCTGTACCCCGTATGGTCCCTGACACCCATCGGGAGCAATCCCTGAGCACAGCCAAATATGGCCCCAAAACAAAAAAAAAAATTGTAACTAAAAATATATATACTGAAATAAACTCTTGGACATTTCAGTAGCAGAATGCACATGACAGAGGCATCGAGGAACTTGAAAACTGAGAGGTAGAAAATCCAGTTGAAAGAATTGAGGCAGAAAGGACTGAAAATGGAGCAGTGCTTCAGAGGCTAGCAGGTATCCCGAAAGGAGTAGTATATCACTGGAGATAGAAATTGTGGTAGGAAGATATTTGTAGAAATAGTGACTGAGGGGGCCAGAGCAATAGTACATCAGGGAAGGCATTAGCCTTGCGTATCGTCAACCCACGTTCGATCCCCAGCATCCTATATTTTCCCCCAAGCAGTATTTCCTAAGTGCAGAGCCAGGAGTAACACCTGAGCATCACTGGATGTGAGAAAGAAAGAAAGAAAGAAAGAAAGAAAGAAAGAAAGAAAGAAAGAAAGAAAGAAAGAGAGAAAGAGAGAAAGAGAGAAAGAAGACTGAAACACTCCCAAATTTTCTGATTCACAGATAAAAAGAGAATAAACTCAGAGAAAACTACATATATACACATAAGCCAGACTTCTGAAAACCAGAGGTACCCACCAGCTAATAAAATGACTGCTGTATATTTTTTAAGGGAATGAAAGATACCGCACAAGCCTTTTTTTAAAAATGAACCGCTTTCTATAGAGGAGTTAGGATTTGATTGACTTTTTATCATGGAGCAACATATCATAGAACAGGGCCTTTAATATGTTGAGAGGAAATATCTGTCAGAATTCTGTATCCCCTGAAATTATACATCGGGGTGAAAATAAAAGAAAAACATTTTCAGGTAGAAGAAAAGAATTTATGGCTAGAAGACCATCTTTATAAGGTATTCAAAAGAGATTTTTTTTCAGGCTGAAGAAAAATTACTTCAGAAAAAACTTGGATCTTCACGAATGTAGAAAGAACAAAATAGATAGTAAATAGATAAGACAAAATCCTGTATTTTTAACCTTCTTAGATTTTTATTTGGTTGGTTTGGGGGCCACACCTGGTTGTGCTCAGGGCTTAGTCCTGGCTCTGCGCTCAAGGATAACTCCTGGGGGTGCTTATGGGACCAGATAGGATGCTGGGAATCAGACCTCATAGACTGCAAGCAGGGCAAACGCCCTTTTCTCTGTATATCACCCTGAAACCCTACCTCCTAAATTTCTTAATATTGATACTTTCCCAAAACAAAAATTACAACATTACAAGGGACTTTGAATATTTATAGATTTTATAGTGTCAGAGGATCATCTTCATTGAGATTCATTGTGTTCTATGTGAAGCAGTGCAATACTCACTTAAAAAAGCAAGGTGTAGCCAGAAAGCCAATAAAGATACCCAAGTAAGCTTTAAAATGGCAACCCGTGCAGCTGACCTGAGGTCAATTCCCAGCACCCCATATGGTCCCCTGCCAGGAGTGATCCCTGAGCGCAGAGCCAGAAGTAAGTCTGAGCACAGCCAGGTGTGCCCAAAAACCAAAAGTAATTAGTTAAATAACAACTCAGTAATATACACAAGACTAGAAAATAGTTGTTTCTGAGCAGTGGAATGAACATATTTTTAAAATGTTTACTTTGTGTCAATTTATATCTATCAGATTTTCTTCTGCCTTATTAGAATAACTAAGGAAGAAGATGAACATATTTTTGATCTTCTCAAAAATGAAACCTGAAAAAGCAGATGACTTTAAACCTGGATTATTGTCAAAGACAATTTAACTCTAAATCTTAAAAGAAATTTTTAAGTAAAGGGGCAGTTTTTCCTAAAGAGTCCGCCTCTTGGAGAGCCCGGCAAGCTACTGAGAATATCCCGCCCACACAGCCGAGCCTGGCAAGCTCCCCATGGCGTATTCGATATGCCAAAAACAGTAACAATAACCGGTCTCATGTCCCTGACCCTGAAAGAGCCTCCAGTATGGCAGCGTTGGGAAAAGTGGATGCTAAAATCTCAGGGCTGGGACAAAAGGAGATGTTACTGGCGCCTGCTCGAGTAAATCGATGAACAGTGGGATGACAGTGATATAGTGATACAGCGAAGTAAAGAGACTGAATGGGGCTACAGCAATAGTACCACAAGGAGGGCATTTGCCTTGTACACGGCTGACCCAGGTTTGATCCCTTGCATCCCATATGGTCCCCCGAGCACCGCCAGGAGTAATTCCTGAGTGCAGAGCTAGGAGTAGCCCCTGATCATCTCCATGTGTGCCATCCCCCCCCTAAAAAAAAAAAGAGTAAAGGGGCTGGAAAGAGAACTCAATAGACTAACGTGTGTTGTGACTGAGGATGAGGGAGAGCCTGGGTATGATCTCCAGCACTGCCTCGTTCCCTGAGCACCAGCAGAGGCAACAACTAAATAAACAGTTTGCAGTAGCCCAACACCAGTGGGTGCAGCCCAGAAAAGCAAAAATAATACAATGAAGTGAAATAAAGAAAATGCTGGAGCTGGAGACATAGCTATCCAAAGGCATGGAATAGAAGCTTTGGATTTGGGAGCCCCAGACATTGCTCAATCATAGCATGTTCCCCCAAGCACAGTGAGGGGTGTCCCAAAACCAAACCAAAAGGAGAATCAATGGAGGGTCGAGCTGTGGCTCGCGTGGTAGGGCACCTGCCTGCATGCATGAGACCCTGGGCTCAGCCTCCAGCCTCCTGTCCCGATTTTTGCCAAGTGCGGCTCGCCCCACCCACCTCTCTTTCTGCATAAAAACAGTAATAACAGCAATAACGAAATAAGTAAATGTGAGAATCCCAAGGGTGCTGAGATTTGCAGGGAGGGGAATTAATAATAAATGAAGATTTAAAATCTGTTAGCAGAGTCTCATCTTACAGGTTTTTGCTTTAACTGAAAAAACGCCTTCCTTGAGTTGTCCTTCAGCAGAATCACAGGCACTGGGGAGTCCTCATTATTAAAGGTTACTCATTTTTTTTTATGCTGACTAACAAACCATCCGAGCAGGTAGGCATAGGGGTTAGGCGTCCCCTTTACTGTCAAAGTGGCTTTTTAAATAATGAACGTCCAACTGTGAAGGAAATTAAGCCTGTAATTATGTTCATAGGATCAAAGTTCTGATCGTACCAGTCTTTCTTCAGCGGGAGCCCAGGACTCTGAATCTGCCTCTCTAACAGATGAAGATGCCTGCCATGACCTGGAAGGAGCCACTTCTTCCCAGGAGATCAGCACCACTTCCGGGACGAAGGGAACTGATATCAACAGAATAAGCCTGGAAAGTTCTGCCTCCTTAGAAGGTTTGTTCACACTCTTCTGTCATACTGTGTTTGATCTGCAGTGTTTTCACCTTCTTTTTGCTTTACTTTTGAATAAGAGTCGACGTGGCTCTAAAGTCAAAACAATAGAACCCAGGCACTTTGAGGGATGTGTAGATCCCATATACCCTGCCTTCATCTTATTTCCTCCTGTGAGGTCATCATTACCATTCACTGTCTTTAAGCTTTTCTAGAAAAGCGTGCTTGCGTGCATTTGTTCTTACCTCTTGACTCCTGAGGTCAAGGTGCTACGAATATGTTGTTATTCCTTGCATTTTCACTTAATAGTACATACTGAAGATCACTCCTTGTAGGCTCAAGGGAGGCTATGGGATTCTGGGGATCGAATCCTGGTCAGCTGCATGCAAGGGAAATGCCTTCCTCACTCAGGGCTGGGACAAATGGAGACATTACTGGCACCCACTCGAGCAAGTCTATGAACAATGGAACAACAGTGATACAGTTCTATATTTTTTGTTTTTTCTTGTTTTAATTCTTTGATTTTTTTTGTTTTTTAAAACTATATTTGTGGGGTTTTTTTTATTTAATTTTTTATTTCCTTATATGTTGTACATTTAATGTTGACACCTTTACATCTGGAAATATGTTTCACAAATTGCGTATCCCTGAATCACCAGCTCTCGGCTCAGGAAGCAGCTGGGGTAGAACTCCTGCCTTTCAGGCCTGGGGCCCTGAGCTCTGTCCTTGCCCACAACCCACATGCTAAGCGTGAGTCCAGTGGTGCTTCCTTTGGGGATCGATCCTTGTACCACAACTGAGGCAATCTCTGGCATCTGTAACCCAGTGTGTGTGAGCACCACGGCAGGTGTGCAAACCCTGTGTCCCCAGCAAGCACTACAGTCAAAGTGTGGGAGCACCACACTCGTGTTGATCATGTTGATCAACATGATCAACAGTTACAGCAGAGAAGCGGCAGGAGGGGACAAGCAGAACATTAACCGGGTCCAGGACTTCCTCTCCTGTCATAGTCAGTCACAGTTACCCCCTCACAGATGACATTATCAGAGCTTCTGACACTATATATTACAGGAATGTCATCTTTTTAAAGCTTCTATAAACTTAAAAAAATATATTTTGTTTTTGGATCACATCCCATGGTACTCATTACTGACTCCTGGCTTTGCGCTCAGGAATCATTCCATGGCTCAGGGGACCATGTGGGATGCCATGTATTGAACCTAGATCAGTTGTATGCAAAGCAGGTGCCCTTCCCACTGTATATCTCTATCCATCCCCAAAGCTTCTGTGGACTAATAAAAGTATATGTGTTTTGTGAAGTATTCATTTTCCAAGAGCATAATTATAATGCCATCTAGTTTTTATGTGACATTTATCGTCTACCAAATATTCACGTAGTTTAAATGTTTACAACTCTCTCATGAATCTCTTCCTGTAGAAGGTTCATGCCAGTGGAATCTAAACAGCCCACATGTATAATCAGTTGAAATTAACTACCTGTTATCTTTGGTCCCCTTTTTTTTTTTTTTTTGCTTTTTGGTTCACACCCGGCAATGCTCAGGGGTTACTCTTGGCTCTGCACTCAGGAATTACTCCTGGTAGTGCTCAGGGGACCATATGGGATGCTGGGAATCGAACCCGGGTCAGCCACATGCAAGGCAAACGCCCTACCTGCTGTGCTATTGCTCCAGCCCCTGGTCCCTCCTTTTTTTTTTCTTATGAACGATTTGAATAAAAGAGAAATAATTTTCATTATCTTAGTTTTTATGTCATTTTCTCAGTAAGATTTTTGCTCATTTTGCTTTGTCCAAAAGTGAGAATGTATTTTTTTTAATGTAAGAGTATTGCTAATTATTCAGCCATTGATTAGGCTGATTGAATTGGGCATGAACTCCACCTTACTTTTTTTTCTTTTTTATGAATTTATTCATTGAATCACTGTGAGAGCAGTTACAAAGCTTTTGGGTTTAAGTATCAGTCACACAATGATGAAACACCCATCCCTTCACCAGTGCCCATTTTCTACCACCAAAATACCCTAGTATACCGCCATCCCACACCCTCCCCCTACCTGTGGGGCAGATGATTTCCACATTACTCTCTCTCTCTACTTTGATTACATTCAATATTTTGACACCAGATCCACCATTACTATTTGGGATTTTACCCCAACACTCAGATCTGCCAAAAAGACAACCGTAGACAATTTGTTTTCTACTGCTGGTTATGAATAACATATGATGTCGCGTGGCCGCAGTAGTGGTCACACTATTTTGGAATTCTGAAATTTTAACACTTAAATCTTGAGGGATTTCTGCCAAAACCTGCTGGGTTCTGAGATTTGTTCCTGAGTCTCTGGGATCATGGCCGTTAAGCATTTTGATCATGGGCCTGAGAGGCCATTCGTGGGCTGCAACTCAGGGTCTCGTTGGGGCGGGGAGGAAAGGGCTGGCTCCACCCCCATCTCATGAGGCCCCGTTTGTCTCGTCACTGAGGGGCCGAATCTGACTGTCCTCCAGTGGCCTCTGGAGGATGGCGGCCACTGAGCTGCTAGGGGGAAACAGGCCAAGGCACGAAACCTGTTCCCACCTAGGGTGGCCCGGCACCGGTAACCTGCTGCGGGGACCTGATGCTTTTATGTCAAAAGCCACTGGGTTCCGAGATTTGTTTCTGAGTCTCTGGGATCATGGCCATTAAGCAGTTTGATCAGGAGCCAGAGAGGCCTTGCCTCCAATTATATAACTGAGCAGGAGGTAGTTCGTGTATGGGTCTCCCACATACCTTACCTAACTTTTGGCCATTTACTTTCTTGATAAACTTGGCCCCAAGTTGTTGGGGTCTGACCAAAGGCACAGCAGCAATTTTGGGGTATCTGGAAGTCTGAAGGCGCCATCAGGCTACTGATGCACTCACCTCACAGATTAACCTGCTGGCGGCATCCTACCCCATGGTCCCTCCTTTTTTTCCCTCCTTGTCATATAATCAAGAAATTTGCTCACTTCCCCTGTTATTTTTTTTTCTTTTTTTATTAGTGAAAAACCATGAGGTACAGTTATAGGCTTACAAATTTTGTGCTTGGGTTTCAGTTATACAATGATCAAGTGCCCATCCCTCCACCAGTCATCCATCCCCATGGGTCCCAGCATCCCCCCCACCCTCATCCCCCCCCCACCCGTCCCATCCTGCCTCTGTGGCAGGGTATTCCCCCTTGTTCTCTCTCTCTTCTTTTGGGTACTGTGTTTTGCAAGAGAGGCTTTGAGTGGCAATCATGTTTGGTCTATCGACTACTTTTAGCATGCTTCTCCCACCCTGGGAGGGCCCTCACAACACCCTTCATTTGGAACTCTCTTCTCTATCTGAGCTTCCTTTTCACCTAGAGCCTGTGGCTGGCCTTCCATTCATGGAGCAAAATTCCTGGTACTAATCTCAGCCATTCCTGGGTGTCACTCTCCCTTTTTGTTGCTTTATGTTCCCCAGATGAATGCAATCTTTCTGTGTCTATCCCGCTCTTTCTGACTCATTTCTCTTAACATGATACTTTCCATGTAGTACCACTTGTATGTAAATTTCATAACTTCATCTTTTCTAACAGCTACATAGTACTCCATTGTGTAAATGTACCAAAGTTTCTTTAACCAGTCATCTGTTCTTGGGCACTCAGGTTTTTTCCAGATTCTGGCTATTGTAAAGAGTGCTGCAATGAACAAACAATTGCAGATGTCACTTCGACTATACCTTTTTGCCTCTCTGGGATATATTCCCAGGAGTGCTATAGCTGGGTCAAATGGCAGATCAAATTCTAATTTTTAATATGCAAACCTTTTGAAGAGAGTTCAGGAGCTGTAGCACATGCTTTGCACACAGGAAGCCCAGTTTGACCCCCAGGACTACATGATCCATCCCCTAAACAAGTGACCCCCAAGCAGCAAACCAGGAGTATCCCCTGAGCGCTCCCAGATACAGCTCAGAAACAAAATCAAAAAAAGAAAGGGGAGAATAAATAGTTGTGCTAAGCAGATCAACTTACCTCACAACCTGATTCATATTTGTTAAAAGGAGTCTTCTATGGATCAAACAAATAGTACTGCGGGAAAAGTTACTTGCAGACGGCCAACCCAGGCTCGATCCTCAGCAGTCCGCCAAGCATTGCCAGGAGTGATCCCTGAGTACAGAGCCAGGACTAAGCCCTGAGCACCACTGGGTATGGCCCCAAAACACAAAATTTTTTTTTGTTTTTTTTTGGGTCACACCCGGCGATGCACAGGGGTTACTCCTGGTTCTGTACTCAGGAATTACTCCTGGTGGTGCTCAGGGGACCATATGGGATGCTGGGAATCAAACCCGGGTCGGCCGCATACAGGCAAATGCCCCACCTGCTGTGCTATCTCTCCAGCCTCTACAAAATATTTTTTAAAGGAATATCTTGTGCTGTTGATCACTTGGACATAAAATGCAGGTTGCCCACATCAGTGATTACATCAGTCTAATAAAAGGTAAAGGTAAAGGTAAAGGCCCTCCCGTTGATCGTCGATTTGCTCGAGCGGGCCCAGTAATGTCTCCATCGGAGACTTTGTTGTTACTGTGTCTGGCATATCGAATACTCTCGGTAGCTTGCCGGGCTCTCCGAGAGGGGCGGAGGAATCGAACTCGGGTCGGCCATGTTGGCCGCGTGTAAGGCGAACAGCCTACCCGCTGTGCTATCGCTCCAGCCCAGTCTAATAACTGCTAGAAATTGGGAGCCAACGATCAACCTCATGTGAGCAGGAGCCATGGGGCAACTGTGGTCTCCACCCTCTGAAGCTCTTTCTCTCCATTCCCTTCCCTCTGTTGGAACTGTGGGATGCCCCTCCTAGCCCCTGTGCTCAGGGTCGTGGTGCTCCCCATGATCAATCACATGTAGGTCACTGCCGGGGAGGTCACAGCCCCACTTGCCCAGTCACACCCCTGCAGGAGCCTTCTGGGCTCCTCCTGGCATCTTAAGAGGGAGCTGCTTCCTTCCTTGGCCTCTCCCCATCTCCCCCTGCTGAACCCAGGGCCAGGAATAGCCCTGGGATGACCTTGTTATTTATTTTCTGAAACATCTTTAGTCTGGCTCATTCTGATTAAATACCAGCCCGCAGTGGTACTTCATGGGTGATCTTATCCTTTGACTTCATAGGACCTAGTCATTTTTTCCATTGCTTTTTTTTTTTAACCTCCCTATAATAACATCGGTGTTCACTCATGACATTTAGTATTGATTGTTTTTGCCATATTGGAGGCTTTGCTTTTCATGCTTTCAGATACCCCCTAGTCTGCTGCAGTCAAAAGCCTAACTAAGAAATCTTTGAAAGAAAAAACAAAACATATCGACATAATGCTTATTACAGTGTACTGTTGGAGTTGTTCTATTTTACTGTGGTTGTTACTAATCGTGCCTAACTTATAACATAGCTGTTTTGTACTTTCTAGACCCTACAACTAAACAGTTTTCTTGGGTTTTGTTTGGGTTTTGGTCCACACCTGGTGATGATGCTCAGGGATTACTCCTGATTCTGCACTTAGAAGTCACTCCTCTTGGCGATGCACAGGGAACCGTATGGGATGCCAGGGATCAAACCCAAACAGACCACGTGCCCTCCCCACTGCACTATTGCTCCAGCCCTGATTTCTTGTATTTAAACTTTCGGAAAAGGCAAGCAGAGAAACAATACTAAAGCACTTTCTAGCTGTAAAATACAAAGTGCTTAATACGTGAGTGGTAGAAATATCTAGCGTTTGCAAATCAGGATGTGAGCACATTGCCTGCAGGTTGTACTCAAAAACAAAACTGTACTCATTGCATGCAAGACATTTTCCTTATATCCATTTCCTCTTAAATTGCCTCCAATATTAAAAAAAAAAAAAAGAAGCTTAACATCTTTTTCTTTTCTTTTTTTTTTTTCCTTTTTGGGTCATACCCGGCAATGCTCAGGGGTTACTCCTGGCTTTGCACTCAGGAATTACTCCTGGCAGTGCTCAGGGGATCATATGGGATGCTGGGGATTGAACCCGAGTCGGCCGCATGCAAGGCAAACACCCTACCCACTGTGCTGTCGCTCCGGCTCCAAAGCTTAACATCTTATCAAAGAATTTGTAACTGTCTCCCATCTCTTTTCTCATTGAAAGTAATGATTTGCGCCCTGTCTTTAATAAATGAATAGGATCCCTGTCAAAGTTTGCCTTGCCTGGAAAATCAGAAGTAGCGTCTTCCTGCAGCACAAGCAATGCAAACATCTTCCAGAACTACGCAATGGAGGTACAGCTTCGCTCAAAAATGCATTTATGTTACTTAAGTGTTGGTCTGTATGAAGTAATACAAGGTTTGAGCAGCTTCATTCTTGTTGTTTTAGTGGGAACCACACCCAGCATTCTAGCTCTGCACTCAGGGATGATCCCTGGCGGTGCTTGGGGACTATATGAGATGCCAGGGATGGAACCCAGGATTGCCATGTGTGAGGCAGGCAACCTATTCATGATACTATCCTGTAATACAAAGTTTAAGGATAAACTTAAGCATCAGCGGAGATGCTCAAAGGGCCAGAGGCCCTGCTCTGCAGGTGATGGGTGCAAGGTTCTATCCTGGACACCACATGGGCCATATGCACTGTCGGGAGTGACCCCTGCACATCACCAGATGTGGCTCCAAAACAAAAAGGGAAGACATTTAAAATCCAGTTTTTAGTATTTCAGATTATTGAAATACTACTACCTCTGGGTCTGAGAAGATAGGATGCTTGCCTTGCATGTAGCTGACCCAGGTTCGATCCTGGACATCCCATATGGTCCCCATAGTGCCATCAGGAGCAATTCCTGAGTGTAGAACCAGGAGTTACCACTGAGCATCACCGAGTGTGGCCTTTAAAAAAGAGAGAGAGAGAGAGAGAATATACTACCTAAGGTCTATTACAGACAGTTCTTCCTTTCTGAAATTGTTTCTAATCCTGAGCATGCACTGAACCATTTTCTAGAATTTTTGTTGTTGTTGTTCAACTTTTGTTTTGGGACCACACCTGGAATGCTCCTGGTTCTGCACTCAGGTATTAATTACTCCTGGTGGTGCTGAGGGGACCATACGGGACATCAGGGATTGGACCCCTCCCATCTGCCCATCTGTACTATCACTCCAGCCCTGAACAGTCTTCTAAAGTGCCTGTTTCTCCCTTAGGTTCTCATCTCCAGTTGCTCTCGGTGTAGAACTTGTGACTGTCTTGTCCATGATGAGGAAATCATGGCTGGCTGGACCGCAGATGACTCAAATCTCAACACGACTTGTCCGTTTTGTGGCAATCTTTTCCTACCCTTTCTGAATATTGAAATAAGAGATTTAAGAAGACCTGGAAGGTACTGATTTATGCCTTTTCCCTTCATGGTTAAAGATCATATTTTCCAGAATGTCTTTTCTGAAAAAAAAGCTCCTTTGATTCCCATTGCAGATACTTTCTGAAATCGAGCCCATCAGCAGAAAACCTGCATCTTCCGTCCTCTCTGTCCAGTCAGACAAGGCAGTCCTGCATCTCTGCATCAGCCTCCGGTCTCAACACATCTGTGGTCTCTGTTCAAGGGAATTTTGATCTAAATCGGTAATTATGAATACTTGGAACTATGTATTTTTAATAACACATGTACTACACATTTCAAACAAAGAAGCCATTAGTGATCACTTCAAGGTTTAAGTTTTTTCGTATAATGGTCATAATATTCCATTCTTACTCCAGTTAAAATAATACTAAAATAACCTAAATATTTAAATGGTTAGTATTTGTACTTTTTATACTTTTTAATCTTCAGAGTTCAAATAATAACTCTGGGGATGTTCATGATAACATTTATTAATATAATATTAATAATGATTACATTTATTATTATTTTCAGGGTAAAAACTCTGTAGAACACATGAAGTATATCATCAACCTCTTCCTCCTTTTTTTTTTGTTTGGGGGCTTACACACTTGGTGATGGTCAAGGAACAGTATGGGATACCAGTGATTGAACCCAGATCAGCCATATGCAAGTCCTCCTTCAGCACTGTCACTCTGGCCCTTCCTCTTATTTCTCTCACTTTGGGAATGGGATCATTTCTGACTTCTGCTATGGAGTATTTTGTTTTCCACTTCAGAATATTTAAGCATCTGACCCAACATTTGGATCTGTGAAATTAAACTGCAGCTTCACAGCACGATGTTCTCCTATTCTTGGCTTTACTGAGCTTCATGGATAATCTATATTTTTTTAAACAAGACCCTGTACTGATGAAATCTCAGATGATGGTTAGCATTTTGAGCAATAAAGTATTTTTAATTTTATAAACATAACTTTAAGTCATTATTAAGGCAACATGGTTCACAGTAATGTGAATATTTGTTTTAGGTGTATAATATTACTCTCCCACATCCATACCATAGTTCCAATATCCCTCCCCCCCACACTGTCCCTAAGGGACTTTCCACCTACCCACCGCCTGCTTCCCCATCCCTCTTCACCCCACCTTGCCTTGGGAACCCCAGTTTTGTTGGTAGAGCTCTTAGGTTTGTTCTCATTGGTCACTGTGTGTTATTCCCTTGCTTAGTTTCCTGCTGTGCCACTTAGGAAATCATCTGGTGTTTCTCCTTCTGATTTATTTCACTTAATATGACATCCTCGGGTTTTTGTCATGTTGAGCAAAAATCAAGACTTCATTTTTTTTTCTATCTGAATAGTATTTCATCGTGTTTTTTTGTTCTGTTTTGGGGCCACACCCAATGCTCAGTGGTTACTCCTGGCTCTGCACTCAGGAATTATTCCTTGTGGTTCTTGGGGGGACCATATGGGATGCTGGGGATCAAACCTGGGTTGGCCGCGTACAAGGCAAGCACACTGCCTGCATTCTCTCACTCCAGCCCCTAATATTTCATTGTGTATGAATATATATCTCACAATTTCTTCCCCTCTCCCTCTGTTGTTGAGTACTTGAGTCGCGTCCAGATCTTGACTACTGTTAATAAAGCTGGGGTTAATACAGATATGAATGTACATCTTTTCAAATTAGTGCTTTAGTATTCTTAGAATAGGTACCAGCCAAATTTTTATAGGTACTGGCAAAAAAAAAAAAAGAACTCTCACTTGTTTTCTTGAAATTTTCATTTTGAAGTGTGGTATGTAAATAAATCTACACTGAAAGTGGATGTAGAAATCAGCTTTGTTTTGAAAAAGTACCAAATACATCTTATAGAGCTATGCAGATGAATTTTGGGGACGGCAGGGGGGAGCAGGAGGTGGTGGGGGGGTACACCCAGCAGTACTCAGGGCTGACTCCTGAGTGATATAGTCAGGTATCACTCCTGAGGGAACCATATGGAATGCTGGGAACCGAACCTGGATCAGCCATGTTCCAAGCAAATCGCCTGCATCGGCCATGTTCAAGGCAGATGCCCTCCCCGCTGTAGTATCACTTCAGTGCCCTGACTCTTTTTATCGGAATCGCATCTTCAGAAGTTGCAGAGTTCTGTTGAACTAGTGTCCTGTTTGACCCTGCAGTTCAGGCAGCCATACTACAAATCAGTGTGTGCTGTCTCTCACCTCAGGGTCACGGTAGCTCTTTATTTCTTTCTCTCTCCTTGGGGTGCCTGAAATAATAGGTGCCTGTTTCCTGCTTTTTATTTTCTGGGCCTACTACAACTGCTGCAGTAGAAAAGTTGTACACTAGATGTTTTGAATATTTAAACTTCATGGGCCAGAGAGATAGTCCAATGATTAAGCACTTACCTTGCATACAGCACATCAGGTTTGATCCCCAGCACCTCCTATGGCCCCCGAGCCTTGCCAGGAATGACTCCTGCACACCTCGGGGTATGGCCCAAAAACCTCAGTCAGTCAGTCACAGTCATTAAAGAAATTGTAGTGGGATTATACAAATTTATTTTTTTCTCTATAATTTTACTTGCTTTATTGTTTTTAGAAGGGCTGGAGCGACAGACAGCATAGTGGGTAGGGCATTTGCCTTGAACATGGCCAACCCGGGTTCGATTCCTCTGCCCCTCTGGAAGAGCCCGGCAGGCTACCAAGAGTATTTTGTCCACATGGCAAAGCCTGGCAAGCTACACGTGACGTATTCAATATGCCAAAAACAGTAACAGCAAGTCTCACAATTTGTTGTGAGATGTTACTGGTGCCCACTTGAGCAAATCGATGAACTACGGGAGGACAGTGCTACAGTGCTATTGTTTTTAGAAAAATAGAAGTATTTCCTTTTTTTTTAATTTCTTTATTGAATCACCGTGAGATAGTTACAAAGCTTTCATGATTTTCAGTCATATAATGATCGAACACCCATCCCTTCACCAGTTACATTTTCCACCACCAGTGTCCCCAGTATCCCTTCTGCTACCACCACCTCTTCCTACCCCCTGCCTCTGTGGTAAGCACCTTCCTTCTTTCTCTCTCTCTACTTTGGGACATTATGGTTTGCAATACAGATACTGAGAGGCTACCATGTTTGGTTCTTAGTCTCCTTTCAGCACTCATATCCCATCCCAAGCAATCCCTCCAACCGTCATTGACTTAGTGGTCCCTTCTCCATCCCAACTGTCTCCCAGGTGAAACCCAATCATCATCTTCCATTTGATTTACTTTATTATGTCCTAATCTAAGTAGAAGAACATGGTCTTTCTAAGTAAAATACTGCATGGTCACCCAAAATTTGGTTCATAATCTTTCATCACTTAATCATAGTTTAGTAATACGTGATTTCAAAGTAATATTCAAAGTTTTTAAGAAAGCTTTGCATGATGGTCTCACCTCACACTCTTGCGAGAAAAAAAAGTTGGTATAAAATATGCTGTGATTATACATGAGATAAAAGTAAAGTTGATTGAGACCCTAATATGCTGTTTTTGTTATGTTTTTTTCAATGTCCAAGCAAATCTAAACTGCTGGAAAGTTCATGTGCCCGAAGTATTCAGATCCCTACGGATAGGTCAAATGCAGCTCTGTCAAAATGTCCAATATTCCCAATGGCCAGGAGTGTAAGCACTTCCTGTTCTTTGGATAAGGATGACACTGGGAGACAGAAGCTCATCCCAACAGGCAGCCTGCCAGCCACTCTACAAGGAGCTACAGTATGTATCAGGGTGTTTCTCTTTCATTGGGTCATTTATGTATAACTTGGTTCCCTTTGTCATAGCAGTGTTATTAGCTTCAGTTTCATTATCGTTGAGCTAGTAGGGACTCTGTCCCATAATAGTTAAAGTCACTTTCTACTCATATCTTAGAAATTGCTGACAGGATTTGTTTTTAATGATTTGGTGTCATCAATTGCATATTTCTCATTGATTGTTTTTTTATTTTTGCGACAGGATTCCTTGGGGTTGGAATGGCACCTCCCTAGCCCAGACCCTATCACTGTTCCATACCTTAGTCCTTTGGTGGTATGGAAGGAACTTGAAAGCTTACTGGAAAATGAAGGCGATCACGCAATAACGGTGGCAGACTTTGTGGACCATCATCCAATTGTATTTTGGAACCTGGTGTGGTATTTTAGACGTCTTGATTTGCCCAGTAACTTACCTGGATTGATTCTTTCTTCTGAGCACTGTAACAAGTATTCAAAGGTATGAGAGTCAAAACTAACTGAAAGGCAATGCTATCATAATTGTAATGTTTACAGAGTCCTGGTGATTAAAAAGGTTTTTCTTATATCAACAGATTATATTAAAGCATTTACATCAACTTATATCAAAACATTTACAAATAATGTTTTTCCTTGTAGAGTTATGCTTTGTAGTTTGGTAAGATTTATGCAGAATGGTCTCGAATTTTTGTTATAGCTGGAAAAATAAACCATAAAGGATTCTGATGTTTGTGAGTTGGCCTCAGTCTGTGTTTCACACCTCCTTCAGAAACAGGCCTGCTCAACACAGACCCAAATCCATAAGTAATACTCAGGAAACATAGGTATAACTCCTCAGAAGCTTGACTCTAGAAGCATCTTTAAGGAGTTGGTGCCATTGGCCAATCGAATGAATGCAAAGATAAACAAGAAGGACTACATCAAACTACGAGTTTCTACACCCCAAAAGAAACAACCAGAATAAAAAGGCATCCCATGAACTAGGATTAAATATTTACCCACCCCTCATCTGACAAAGAATTAACATCAGAAATATAAGGCACTGATAGATCTTTTTTTTTTTTAACTGAATCACCGTGATATACAGTTACAAGCTTTTTGTTTGAGTTTCAGTCATACAATGATCATACACCCATCCCTCCACCAGTGCACATTTTCCACCACAAATGTCCCCAGTATCCTCCCCCTTTCCAACCTTCCCCCTGCCTCCATGGCAGAGAGTTTCCCCCATATCCTTTCTCTACTTTTGGACATTATGGTTTGCAATACAAATACTGCAAGGCTATCACGTTTGGTTCTTTATCTACTTTCAGCACACATCTCCCATCCCGAACAATTCCTCCAGTCATCATTGACTTAATGATCCCTTCTCTATTCCAGCTAGTGCACTGATCGATCTTTACAAGAAAAAAACAACCAGGGCCAGAGCAGTAGTCCCGCAGGTTAGATGCTCGCCTTGCATGGTGCTCTCCACACACAGCGCTGGGCAGTAGTGGAGAGTGGTGCTGGAATGATTTCTACAAGAAACACTGCCATTGACAGCATTGTAAACCATGCTGCCTAAGATTTCTTTCTTTTGGGGGGGTGAGAGGTGGGGGAGGGTTGGGGCCACATCCAGCAGTGGTCAGGGCTAGCTCCTTCTGTGCCTAGGGATCACTGCTGATGGAGCTCAGAGATCGAAATTGGGTAGGATGCTCACCTTGCACGCAGGTGAGCACCCTACCCACTACACTATCAATGGTTCCAAAATAAATTTTTTTAAAAAATAGCCCTGGACAGTGTGCACAGTGCCACATTGCATATTCCACCACCTCACATGGATGGGCCACACACCGGCTCCTAGGCCCCTGCAATCCACTGTAAAAATCCTTGTTAATGAAAGAAGCCGAATAATTTTTAGGGGGTCATTAATCATATTGAAATTATGTGCAGTCATTCTTGTCATAACTTTTTGCTTGACCTTTAGTAATTAGTGTGTTTGACGCTCACTTGGTTCTTAAATGTTGTTCTGTAAAAGTTCAGATTTACTCTTTCATATGCTCTCACCACTACTAGACATCTCTTTGCATGTTAACTTTATCTTACCCCCTTCTTAACACTGAGAGTCAGCAGTTGTGCATGTACTTTGGATTTTCGGCACAGGGTAAGTGACCAAGAGAATTAACTCAGAGTTATCTAGGCCAGGATCTGGGACTGATATCAAAGAATGTTCTAGATTCATCTTTCTGTGGCGCCCCAAGCACTATCTGGTCAGGAATTGTCTCTGCATCCTTTCTCACGGAGCTACACCCTGCACCCAGTAGAGAGCATCAGCTTCGCAGTCCCTTCAGTACATACAGCATACGTACAAATTTACCGTTTTCCGTACTCCTTTTACACATACATTCTAAAAGAAATTCATAAGGCACGTTATATTTATTCACCTTTTATCACATAAGGGTCACTAATGAATATTTTTTTCTACCACCCAGATTCCTCGCCACTGTATGTCTGAAGATAGTAAATATGTCCTGATCCAGATGTTGTGGGACAATATGAAGTTGCATCAGGACCCCGGCCAGCCCCTGTACATCCTCTGGAATGCGCACAGTGAGTGCCTGGGGCGAGAGGAGTCTCTGCTTACTTTGAATAAGCTAAATAAACGCAAAACTGACTTTTATTTTACTGTCTTACTTTTTCTCTTACAGGTCAAAATCGTACTCTTTTGTTTGAGAGTGAGTGTTAAGTTTGATATCTTTAGTGTCATCTTTAATGAACATACAGGGGGTTTGGAAGTTGGGTTTTGTTTTTATTTTTGCCTTTAAGGGGTGCTATGTATATGCTGTGGGGTTATGTTGTTAGAGTTCTGCTTTCAGCACATTGCTTGTCCCAATTTCTTCTTTCAATTTGTTTGTTTGTTTCCATTCCAAGCTGCTGATTTAGAATTTTCTTCCGGGGCTACATTAAGGGAAATGGTATTTTTGGGTTATTGTCTATTTGAAGCCCAAAAAAAAAAAAAAGGCCTGTTTTGGGTTTTGTTTTTTTTAATAATTATTTGTTATTTTTTTATTCTTATATTTCTATATCAATTCCCATCATGTATTTTGTTCTTCCATAATAGCTATGAGTTGCTGCTTTCGTTTATTTTTCTTCCTACTCAAAACATTTCCTTTACCTACTCTTTGTTCTTTTACAGCCCAGAAGTATCCAATGGTCCACTTATTGCAAAAAGGTGATAATTCATTTAACCAGGAGCTCTTGAAAAATATGGTAAAAAGCATAAAAATGAATGATGTCTATGGGCCAATGAGTCAAATTTTAGAAACACTGAATAAGTGTCCTCACTTTAAAAGACAGAGGTGAGTCATTTTCTCTCATGAAGATGTCACTCCCCTAAGCCTGCATTTCTCTGAGTGGGCAGTGCCAGCCCCGGGGGTTGGAGGGGCTGGAACGATCCAGGACAATTGGGGGTGGGGGGTCATATTATGTTTGTTCATTGAAAAGTAATTTGGGAGAAACAGAGAGATAGCGTAGGGGTTTAGTTCGTTCAACACCTCATATCATCCCCTGAGCCCTGCCAGGAATAATCCCTGAGCTCAGAGCCAGGCTTCAGCCCTGAGCACAGCTGGGTGTGCACCACCACCCACCCCCCTCAAAAAAAAGGAGAGGATGAAGAAGAAGAAAAAGGTTATTTCAGTGGGCACTAAGTGATTTGTTTCTGAGGGGGAGAGAGGCCAGATACACTTGCAAACCCCTGCACTAAGCAAAGCCATATTATTATTTGTTTAGTAATTTCTTAGAATATCACACTTATATTGTCATAAAAATTTCTTTAGAGAGTACATAGAACATATGGATCCTAATATTTTCACTTTTTTTTTCCTCCTAGGAGTTTATATAGAGAAATACTATTTCTGTCACTTGTGGCATTGGGAAGAGAAAACATTGATATCGGTAATTCATCATAATATATAATATTTATATATCACGGAATAATTTTCAAAACATATTGGTAGTATTTATGTTAATAGGATAATTATTTCTTTGATTTTTTTAAATGTTATGTAAAAGATACATTTGAGGCTTGAGTTTTGTTAGTTAGACCAATGATTAATAATAAAAGCTAATTTTTGTTTTTTTTGTCAACAAGACACACCCTGCTCTGTTCAAGGAGCACTCCTGGCTCTGCACTCAGGAATCACTCCTGGCATGCTCAGAGGAATAGATGTGGCACCGAATATCAAGCCTAGGGTAGCTTTATGGAAAGCAAGAAAGTCCCCTAGCTGCTGTACTATCACTCTGGTCCCAAGAGCTGATTGTTTTTTTTCAGGACATATTTTACACTGTAGCAAATGCTTTCCATGAATAATCACATGTAATTCTCCCCAGCGCCGTAGGTGAGGGGTACTATTATAGTTCCTATATTATTGAGGCGACTGGAAATCTACCCAGCTTTCTTACTGAAAACAAGAGCACCAAGCAATTTCAATTTCTAATTTCATGCTCTCATCCATTGTCATGCCACTGATGACATCATGTCTGCATTATTAGGAAGGTTGCAGTCCTTAGGTCAAATACATACTTAGTAGTTTCCAATTTTTTTTGCTTGGTCATCTCCTCTCAGCTCTCACACTTGACCTTCTTTTGATTTCCACTCCAAAGTCCAACAAAGAACAGAAATAGCCCTGGGAGACACAAGAAGAAGGAAATAATTGACTCTGAGACATTGAGATACTCAAGCAGAGTTTTGGTATTCTGTCAGAGAAATCATGATGTAAATAAGCTGATGAAGTGCTCTAGATGTATACAGTTAATCTGGCTTAAGAGGCCCTTACTAAGCTGCCCAATTTCAGCCCCTTGGCACTCATGAGACTACGCCAGAGACCGTGCTGTACTCGGACTTAACAAAGACAAACACGGTTCTTTATACTCGGCAACTTTTCACTTCTCAAGTGCCTGTGGTACTCTTGCAACCATTGCTGTCACCAGGATAGAAATGCTGACAGTGTGTCAGATGAGTAAGTGCCGGTAAACAAAAATACACTGTAAATCCAAGCCCAGTGGAGACCAGTGTTTAGTATCTGTTGAAAAAAGGAAATGAGGGGCTAGAGCCATTGTACAGCAGATAGGGTGTTTGCCTTTCACGCAGCTGAACCTGGGTTCTATCCCTGGAACCCCATATGAATCTCCAAGCATAGACAGGACTAATTCCTGGATGCATAGCCTGGAACAACACGAGTGTGGGGGGAAAAATAAAACACAAATAAAATGACCCAGAGAAACATTTTCAGAGAACATGAGAAAGAAGTCACATTAAGTGATTAATAAAATGAGAAGGTAAAAACTACTTAGAATTAAGGACTCTTTGGGAAAAACTAAAGGAAATACAACGATTTAACTTTTTATTGTATTTGTGAGCAAAGAATGTATAGGGACCAGAAGGGTAGTGTAGAGGTTAGTGTGATCACCGTACATGTGGCTGACCTGGATTCAATCCCCAGCACTGCATAGAGTCCCCCAAGCCACACCAAGAGAAATCCCTGAGTGCAGAACTAGGAACCATCCCTGAGCACTGCTGGGTGTGGCCTAAAACCCAATCCCCAGCACCCCATATGGCCCCCCGAACACTTCCAGGAGTCATTCCTGAGTGCAGAACCAGAAGTAAGCCTAGAGCATCTCCAGGTGTGGCCCACAAACAAAAAAAATAAATTTTTTTTTAATTTACTGCAATCAGGAGTGAAAAATTATTAACAGATCATGTAAAAAGAAAAGGAATATAATAAATAATTCTCTGCCAACAAATTAGTTAACTTAGGAGGGAGACAAATTCCTTTTTAAAAATAGAGAAACTATATAAAATTGACTCAAGAAATAAAAGCTGGAGAAAGAAGGCTGAGTACATGCTCTGCATGTGGGGTATCTGGTTTTGATCCCCAGAATTATATATGATCCCCTGAGCATTGCCAGGAGCTATTCCTGAGCACCCCTCTGAGAATCCCCACACACACAAAAAAAAAAAAGGAAAATAGAAAACATTAATAGACCCGAACAAGATATTGAACTGGAGATCAAAAAGCTTCCACAAAGAAACATCCGGGACAAAACAGTAAAATACTTCGAAAGGTTTAAATAAATAAATTAAACACATGAGCCAGATGTTTGTAACTCCTTTCTCCCCTCCCTCCCCAAATTCTCAAGTGGAAGCTCTGAGGTGATGGTATTTGGAGGACAGGTCTCTGGGAAGACATAGGTTGTGAGGACAGGGTTCCCACACAACGGGTTCATGTCTTCACCAGAAGAAGAGACCTGGCCCTTTGTCACTCAGTCAGAGAGGACACGGGAGAAGATAGCAGGCCACAAGGATGCTTAAGCCACACAAAGGAAGGCACCTGCTCTGGGAAGGCATCTGCTCTTAGCAGCCTGAACTAAGACACTCGTCCTTCATAAACTCATTGTGACTTTGTCCATGTGATGTCAGTTGTCGATACTCTTTTTAAGTAGTTGCTATTTTTGTTTGGACTAAACCCAGACAAAGGCATCAAAGACAAGAAAACTACAGCCAGTATCTATTGGTAATACGAGCTCAAAACTCCTCAACAAAATCCTAACCGAGAAAGGATTCTTTGCTATGATCAAATGAGAATTATCCCAGGAATGCAAGTTTGATTCAACCTAGGAAGCTATGTCGATCGATGTAATATGCCTTATTTGTAGAAGGAGAAAAGCCACATCTTAAAACCCTAGAGATTTCACACACGCACGTGCGTGCACACACACACACACACACACACACACACGTACACATGCACACATTCACTGCACACCTGTAGATTAGTATAGCAGGTAGGGTACTTACCTTGCATGCATCCAACCCAGGTTCAATCCCCAGCACCCCATCTAGCCACCCAAGTTTTGCCAGAAGTGAGGCCTGAGCACAGAGCCAGGAGTAAGCCTTGAGCATTGCCAGGGGTAGGGGGAAGGGAGATGTAGGAAGAAAGAAAGTTCTGGGCCACGGAGCTAGTAGAGGGATTTGCCTAGCATTTGGCCAACCCTGGTTCAATCCCCAGCACCACATATATTCGCCCATACAACACCTGAGCACTGCTGGGTATGACCTCCAAAAAAGAAAAGGGAGTGAGGAAAGAAGGAAGGGAGGGAGACAGGAAGTTCTGTTTACAGAGATGTCACAAAGCGCAAAATACTTAAAAATTTAACTACAAAACCAGGTAACAGATATGTACAATGGAAACTACAAAACATTGGAGAAATAAAGAAGACATCAACAGTGAACACATTCCATATTCGTGGAGTAGAAAACTAATATTCTTAAAATATCAGAACTGCCCAGAGCAGTTCTGATTGAATCTACAGATTTAACACAATTCCTATCAAAATCCCAATGAGGTTTCTTGCAGATGTACAGGGAAACCCATGGTAAAACCAATAGGAAACTCTAGAGAACTTCAAGTATCCGAAGTAAACTTGAAAAATGAGTCCACAGGAACCACACTTACTGATTTTAGAACTTAACTAAAAAGCTACAGTTAAAACAGCAAGATTGGCAGTGGCAGAGCATAGAGACAGAGAGATGGTGGGGAGAGAATTGAGAGCCCAGAAATTACTTTTGCATATGGAGTCAAATAAGTGTTCGCGAGAGTGAAAGGATCCCAGTCAACAATTCTGCTGCTGTGGAACGGAGATGGCACTCCTGGCATGATCAGGGGACCATACGTGGTGCTGGGGCAGCTTCATGCAAGGCAAACATGCTCCCTGCTGTACTGTCGCTCTGATCCTATATAATCATATAATGAGATGTTATCCACACTTTTATTCTGCCATATGCTTCACCATGGAGGAGCCTTGAGGAGCAAAGGAGTCACCAAAAGACCAGTATTTTATGAGTCTGTTGATGAGAATCAGGGAACCAGAAATAGAGAAGCTGGGCTGGAGCGATAGCACAGCGGCAGGGCGTTCGCCTTATAAGCGGCCAACATGGCCGACCCGAGTTCGATTCCTCTGCCCCTCTCGGAGAGCCCAGCAAGCTACCGAGAGTATTCGATATGCCAGACACAGTAACAACAAAGTCTCCAATGGAGACGTTACTGGGCCCGCTCGAGCAAATCAACGATCAACGGGAGGGCCTTTACCTTTACTAGAAGCTAGGGGAATGGGAGAATGGGAATTGTTATTAAATGGATACAGAGATTCCGTTTTATAAGATAAAAGCATTATGAGCTGGATAGTTACAGTACTTCTGAATGTATGTGATGCCAATCAGTTAAAAATGGTCACAATAAGCCTGGAGAGACAGTTCAGCAAAGAAAGCACTTCTCTTTCACGCAGCCAACCCAGGTTCAATCCAGGCACCACATACCATCCTCCATACCCTGCAAGGAGTGATCCCAGAACACTGAGCCAGGAGTAAGCCCTGAACACTGCCCAAACATGGCCTCAAAAAAAAAAAAAAGAAAAGACAATATGGTAATTACTAGACACTTGACCACCACTTAGAAATTTGGAAAAAGTAATTTTAGAAAGTTATTTTATTACAACTTTTAATTTCACTGATTTCAGTAGCTGAGCTTTCAAATATGGCCTGCGCTCTCGAAGAACCCATCCCATGCCTGAAATCCTATGACCCCTTAGCACTAAGACCAGTAGATTCTTTGGGGTGGGGGTCTGTAGTTTCACAATGATTTGATCGTTGTTAGCAACAAATATACGTTTCCTTGTCTTTATGTCTTCATGCCTATGTACAGATGCTTTTGATAAAGAGTACAAGATGGCGTACGACCGGCTCACCCCAAGTCAGGTCAAGAGCACCCACAACTGTGACAGGCCCCCGAGCACGGGTGTGATGGAATGCCGCAAGACCTTCGGAGAACCTTATCTTTAGAAGATGTGTGTACACCCTCAAGATGTATTTATAGTCTGTGTGTATAAAATAACACTTTTAGACTCGAAACTTTTTTCCTTCAATTTTTGGAAATGCATTTGTAAATGGTTCAGAAAGTTGAGATTATTGATGTACAGAATGTTTTAAGGACAGAATAGGGAGCAAGCCCCTTCCGTTTCCTCTGTCTTTCTTTTTCTTTTTTTTCTTTCATTCTCCTGTAACAAGTGACAAGTATTTTTATGGTGAGGAAATCCCTAAACAAAATTAGTTACTATAAAACAAAACAGCTATCTTAGGGCTTCTCCTGGGAGAGACTTATTGGGGGAGGGAGTTGAAGGGTGGAAATCATGTATGGATCCTACACAAATGTAAGATAAATGTATCTCCTGTGTTTCATAGATTATTCAAATGTTTTAACCATGGAGTTGTATTATACATATTTTAAATTGTTTATAGTAAGTTGATATTTTTTTTAATTTTTAAACTTAATATAGCAAACCTAAAATGAATTTAAACTTATGGAATAAGCAATGAAGTGCTTACTTTCTTTGCTATATGAAGTCATGAGTGCAGGTCGACACACGTACATGCATCTATTTATTACTTGGGGGATGATTCGGAAATGTCAGTCTAGGGTCAGGGTTGTCCAAGGATTGCCTGCAAAAAGGCAAGTCGAGATGCCGACTGCTCAGACTGACCTGATGAGGCTGGAGGAGAACTGTGTCTATGTCTGCTTCTGCAAAATCAGGTCTGACATTGCCTGATTCCAGAATGTTCCCTATTGCTGAGTAGCAGTGAATGCCCAGGGGAAAGAGCTTCTGAAGCCAAATACCAATTTAAATCTTAGTCTACACGAGTAGTCTATCTACCAGAAAGATATTAGAGCTGGGAGGGCATTTGCCTTGCATGTGACTTGCCTGGTTCAATCCCCAGCATCCCATATGGTCCCCTGAGCCCTCCAGAAGTGATTTCTGAGCATAAAGTAAGAGTAAGCCCTGCAGACGACCAGGTGTAACCCCCAAACACCAAAAAAAAAAGGTATCCATTTACTGTATTTCAGATGTTCCCCTTATTTTAATAGCTAAAATATTGGATGTGAAACAAATTGAAGTATAAACTGTTTATCAAAAATATGACCTACTAGAGTATTATGTTGATATTATATATTTTAAATATATTTTCAAAAGTAGCTCTCTAAAAGTACAGCCCAGTTAGAATTTCCCATATTGTGGAACTTTTTCAGGGAGTCTTCAGAATCTGAAGTTTATAAAACATAACTCAGAAATATTCAGAAATAAGACAATAAATTGAGTATTTATCGTGGACATTAGTCTCATAAAAATATTTTAGTGATGTTATTTCTAATAGCATTTTCAGTGGCTAATTTCTGATTTTAAAAAATGTTTGGTAATTCGTAATATTCAGATATTTTCAGTATGTATGTATCTATATGTGCACACGTAGGCATTAATGAAGAAATTCTCTGGTCAGTTTCAAAGAAGAAGGATGGGGGGTGGAAACCGTTCCAATTGGTAGGTATAGACCCAGGAGAACCCATCACATTGGGTCCAAAGAGCTCAAGGAGCATTGAGACTTGGAATCATTTTAGCTGAGGGGGGAAAAAAAACACATTTTGAGTTCAAAACCAACTCAGTTTGAACACAAATTGAGTTCAGTAGTGACAAGTACTAACTAAGGCATTCCACAGCTTTCTACTCCAGGAAATAATAGGGAGAATTAAAAACTAAAATTCTAGTTCACTTCGTTCAAGGCTAAACTTGTTTACTTGAAAAATCTGGTGCTATGCACATCTCCCTGCCTCCTCTGTGAATCCCGCCCTGGTCTTACCTTCTTCAGCATCATTCAAGCTTCACATCCTGGTTGAGTCTGTGTTCTCTACATTAGTCAGAAGTTGTCAAATGAGAGAAATATTTGTTAGATTCGCCTTTGGGCATTAACTATCCAAAAATAAAATCTTTTCAAACTGGTGTTCTATTTTGGTTTGGGAGGGATAGGGTTCGTTTCAGGTTTTATTCCCCTTTCATATAACAGCTTTTACAATTATTTAACTTTTCTATAACACAAGATGTGAGAATCTTGGTTTGTAGATGTAAATATCTAGCAAAAAAATTAAGTTCCTTTTTTGGTAAAATCCATTTTTATGGATTTTATGAATTTGCAAATTTATCTAGAAAAATTGATGTAATTTTATCTCCTCCCCATATTTCAAATGTTTTGCTTTTCAGATGTTTTAAAACATTTTCAAATGTTTTGTTTTGCTTTTGGTTTGGTTTTCTTTCTCGTGCTTTTATTACCCCAGGAATATTTCTTGTACCAATTCAGTGTTTAAAACTTAAACCTAAGGCACTGGAGCAAAAGTACAGAGGGTAGAGTGTTTGCTTTGCACAAAAACAACCCGATTCAGTCCCCGGTATCCCATATGGTTCTTTGAAAGCACCTCCAGGAATAATTCCTGAATGCAGAGCCAGGAATAACCCCTGAGCACCGCCAGGTGTGGCCAAAACAAACAAATCAAAAAAAAAAAAAAAAAACAAAAAAACCCTGAAACCTAAAATAGGAAAAGCAAGTGATAAATTCGGCTCAAAATCCATCCTTGAAGATAACTATTCAAACTTTCCTTCATTTCTCTCCATTGACCATACATTTTGGAGAGTCAATACTGACCATGGTGAGAGAAATAATCTTTTGCTGCATTATGTCTTTTATTTTCTTATTCTTAGTGCTGTTCATATGTTGAATAGTTGAAAATAAATTATGTTGTGTCCTGATCTAACTCTTACTACTTCCTCCCAGGTGTTTTGAATGTCACAACATTTGTGACTTACATCATATGTTGATAAACAACTCTTTGTTTTGCAGTGCTGGAGACCAAACCCAGGGCTTCACACATGCAGGCCCTGTGCTCCTCCACTGAGCCACAACCCATTCCCTTCATATTCAATTTTTTTCTCCCTTTATACATTTTATATTTTTCTGATGGGATTGGGGCGGGGGGGGAGTTTTTGCTTTAAAACTCTAAAACCACCTGCTAGTTTATTATAAGGTTTCATTGAAACCTTGTGCCAGAGCCTAAGAAGAGAACAAAGGGGAGCACCGAAGCTCTGGTGCCAGCTTGGTACCTGCTGTTGATGCCAGCTGGCCTTGGTACAGCATCTCACTGGCTGCCCCTAATCCAGTGCTCTTCCCTACAGCAACTGAGGATGATGATGCTTAATGAGGCAAAAAACTACTGATCTAGTCTCCGTGGCCTGTGGAATGAGGATTGTAGCATCAGGAATGAGGGGAACTAGCTGACAGACATGGAATCAGAACATGATTCTAGGCCCCTCGGGCCTGAGCAATCTAACCGAGTGTCCAAACAAGATGGGTGAACCCGACCACATTTGTAAAAGCAAATACCATTGTGGCTCCAAATTTATTGAGGTTTAATAACTGTCATTTCCAAAGAATGGGAATCCTGGGGAAGTGAGGCTGTTCAGTAAGTTCAATCACCATGATTAGAGATGGATCCCAGGCTGGATGCTTCGACAGCAAAAGGTTCGGTTAGTTTCTTCCACGTCCCGTTGTTCCTGCTCTCTCTTGGTCTTCTGTGAAAGCTCGAGTGTGTGATCAAAGCCATTATCTTCCATAGTCATCTACAAGTGAGCCCCTTTTGCTTCAAAACTAGCAACAGCATTCTTCCATTTCTAATGTCTCCTGGATGCCACCAAGTGCTAGTAAAAGCAGTGTACAACAGATTTAATAAACAAGCGTTTAAAATTCAACATGAAATGTTTCCTTTTTGGGTTGTTGGGTTTTTTAAGACCAGTATCCTTTACTGTCCTCAGAGGGAGCCATACTTTCTCTCACCCTGTTGTCATTCTGCTGATGAGCATTTTAGAAATGGCTCCTTAATCATTGGCTTAAGATCCTCTTATATATAAGTCATACTAGAAATAAATCTTCTTCACAATTTGTATGTAAGCTTACATACAAAAATAGTAGTTTCCTTATGGATCTCTTACTTTAGAAGCCTGTTTGGTTCTACTGACTTTGGACTCTTTTCTGTGGTTTGTTTTTTTTGGCCTCCTCCCAGCTCTGTTGCTTGGGGGTCATTCCCAGGGGTTCTGGGGCTGAAATCCAAGCCTGCCCTTCGCCTGTTGAGGTCTCTGGCCCTAGGACTTTTGTTTTGGATTACACCCAGCAACGATCAGGTTCTGCACAGGACTCAGAAGACCATATGGGATGCTGGGGATTGAACCCAGGTCAGTCGTGTGCAAGGCAAGTGCCCTGTGTGCTGTCCTCTCACTCCAACCCCAGGCTCATGGAATCTTTTTGAAATTGCTTCCTTTTCCCTGGCTGGTTGCAACTGTCACTTGTAGATGACAATATGTGTGGGGGACAGAGCCTGTACTGCTTTGGTAGCACCTCCTGTCCCTTAAGTGACGGCTAGACAACAACACTAGTGGGTTTTCTAATACTAACCCACTTTTCAAATAGAATAGTTTTCTTTCCTCACTGTTCTTGCCTTTCAATTAAATGGCAAGTTACTCATTTTCATTTGTGGGACTCCTTATTTTAATTTCACTTTTCAGAAATCCAGCAGCTAGTGTATTAAGCTACAAAAATGTTGGCATATGTTGTAGTAGGCTGTTATATGTAGTGCTACTTTATTCCTGTCAGACGATTTTTCCTCTGCCCTCAGTCCTTATTGTATTTGGTCTTGGGGTCACACCTCACTGTGCTTACTCCTGGACCTGTGTTCGGGAATCACTCCTGGTGGTGTTCAGGGGACCACATGAGGTGCCGGGAATCGAACCCGGGCCAGCCACTTGCAAGGCAAGTGCCCTACCCTCTATGCTCGCTCTCTCTACCTTCAGCTTTAGCTTCTTAAACTCAACAGTAGCTGAATCTATAATGATGGCAAGTTGAACTGGTGGGGAGGCATGTGCAGGGAAGGGGCTCTGGGGAGCAAATTATAGCTTATGTCTGAGTCCATTGGAGCAACAGCCCTTGGGGATCACCAGGGAATGGGGAGGGGGTGGGGGAGGCTTATTTTAATGTCACTGCACTTGCCCCAGCCCTCACCTTCACCCCCAGGTGTCTGCCCTTGAGAAAACCCTCTGCCTCCTCCTGCCAGCCTCCAGGAGCTACTGTCCAAATGAGCATCTTAGCCCACAATAAACTGCCAGTATGTCAGAGATCAGTTCCTTCCAGATAGCCTTCCTGTCAAGGCTCTCTGCCAGGTGGCTCAAGCTCTGAATCATTGTTTTATTCGTGAAACGAGATGCAGCGTCTCCCAGCATGATTTTGTCGATCCATTTGGGTTACACCCAACAACGATCAGGTTCTGCGCAGGGCTCAGAAGACCATAAGCACCTCCAGGGTGAGCCACGGTGACCACGTCAGACAGATACGGGGCAGGATATGATCCGATCCTCCAACATCACACTGATGATCAGGAATGCAAAGTAAAGGAGGAACATCGTGAAGCCCAGGATCTTGTTCATTCTCCACTTGCAAGACGCGATCGAAGAGATCACAAATAGCAGCATGAGGAAAAGTAACACAATCGCACAGAACAAGCCGTTGCTGCTGACTGGAACAGGCTGTAGGCCATTGATCAGCGAGAAGAGCAACCAGGGGATGGGCAAGCTGCAAGACAAGATGCAGTATGACTTTGAATGGTCAGTGCTAAGCCCAGAGACAGTATTTCCCACTGTATGAACACTCGTTTTTCTGCAAAATGCAAAACAGAACTCTGAAACAGAGCAAAAATATTAGCTCTATTTCACTGATGAGGGAACTAAGGCTTGAAGCCATGAAGTTACATCCTGAGGAATGGCATGAACTGGGGGAATCTACGTTAAAACTTGGGTTCTCTGGGTTCTCAGAGAGATAATACAGCAAGCAAGTGTCTTGCATGCATCCGACCCAAGTTCGATCCCCAGCATCCCATAGGGTACACACCGGCACCATCAGGGGCAATTCCTGAGTGCAGAGCTGATTTTGGACAGAGCCAGGAGTAACCCCTAAGCATCACCAGGTGTGGCCCAAAAACTAGCATCATAATATAATAAAACTCAAGTTCTCCTGGGCATCTGCTTTTTAAAATTCACACTTCATGTCTTGGGTATAACTGAGCCAACTTGGCTGATGTTTGGTTTCTTAATCTCTAAATCTGTAAGATGAACTCTGAGCATGTTTCTTTAAATCCTTTAGTGGTGGACAGGAGGAAAATGAAAATAGTCCGGGTGCTCTGCTCTGGCAGAGGTGAGGAGAGACGGGAGCAGGGAAGGGGTCGGCACACTGGCTGAAATGCTTCCAGAGCCTCTTACCTGGCACGAGCCCAAATGCAAAGCTGCAAGAGTGTCAGGAAGCGGGCCGGAGCCCTTGCTCCCTCCACCCCCACTTCTCTGGCCCTGGACACTGAGCAAAGTATCGGACTGACTTAGGTAATGGAATTTAATGGCCTTCATTTTTCACTTAATCTATAAATTCCAGTCGGTTACATTTCAGGCAGCTTTTTAAGCCCATCTGCTTGTGATGAATGGACACTACTCTGTTCCTTATAGAAACGAGCCACCGAGAAATGCCCTTTATTTCATGGATAATTAATGAAGCGGAAAGACAGCGAACGGAGCCAACAGAATGTTTCGGATTCGATATGCTTTGGGAAGTCGCTTCGCCGCTCACTCACCCCACAGTGATGTCGAATATGTTACTGCCCACGGAGCTCGACACGGCCATGTCCCCCAGGCCTTTCCGAGCCACGATGACACTGGTGATGAGGTCGGGAATGGAGGTGCCAGCTGCCAGAATTGTCAGGCCCATGATCTCTTCCGATATCCCGATGGTCTCGCCCACCTGGTAAACAGCAACAGTCGTTGGGAAACCATAGCAACATCATGAATCTGCTCAGACCTGCAGTGGCTGAGGGAGGAAGGGCAGAAGGAACCGCTGCGAGTGGGGAGGGAGGTGAAGAATCCACCCCAGTGCTTGTGAAATGCGGCTGCTCTTTTCCTGATTAGACTACGGGTTCACCCCTGACTCATGCCCCTGCAATTTGGCCTGCCCCGGAGAACTGCCCTCCAAACCCTGTTCTGGGCACATTTCCATCACCGCAGCCAGAAACCAGGCCAGAGGCTGGGGTCAGCAGTCTGAGAAGTGTAGTCTGGGGAATGAGAACAGCAAACAAACAACAGTTCCGGGGTTACTGCAGAGTGCAGTGTTAGGAGAACCAGGGCCCTGGACACTTGGCTGAGGGGGACTGGAACACCCACAGAGAAGCAGCAGAAATGAGCTACTTTTCCTGAGAACACAGTTGGACAGCGACTCAGTGCCTGGTGTAGCAAGAAGGGGCGAGGCTGACCAAGAAGGGGCAGCGGGACATGGGGCAGAAAGGCGGAGGGTGTGGGCTGGATCCCCAACTCCACACAAAATCCGGTGGTCAGTGGAAGCAGATGGCCCAGGGCCTCCCGTGTCATGGGAACACTGGACAGAGCCTCACTTCACCAGCACCACAGCCGGCTCCGAGCTCTCCCAGACAGACAGAGGCCTTCAATCTGACCACCCCTCAAGATGGGCCCGAGAAGCAGGAGTCCGCTCCCGGCATCCACTCACCTGGTGCGCCCACCACACCATGAGGTACGAGAACATGGCGATCCACAGGATGGAGCCCAGGAAGGTCATGACAAACAATTTTCTAGACTCCTGGGGAGAAGTCGAAAGGGTGGAGAAAAAAGTTGCAGGAGCTAAGGGTTGGGGGGCTGGCCTGGAGCCCCAGTACATACAGTCTGACCTGGGTTTGATCTCTGGCATCCCAGAATGTCCCCCAAGTGATCTCTGAGTACAGGGACAGCCCTGAGCACAGCTGGGTGTGGCCCTAAAATAAAGGTTTGGGAGCTTCTGAGGGAACCACAACAGTGTCCAGGTCTCCTGGGAGTGGAGGGAAGAGCTAAGAGCTGCCCGTTGGGGGCCTGACAATCCCCAGGGAGGAGATGGGGAGGGTGGCCTGCAGGGGGGTCCAGCCAATGGGGGCTCAGTCGTCTGGGGAGCGCTGCTTGCTTGCTGTAGACCAGATCAGTCGAGGGTCAGGCTGGCCTGTGCCCTCATTCACCCCACACCAGTCAGAGTGAGGAGCACTGGGCAGAGCAAAGTCAGACCTTTCTTGTGCAGGAAGAAGCCGCTCAAGCACCTAAGCTTTCAGCCTCTCTCGCTGAAATCCAAGGGACGTGGAGTGGCCCCATTCCCACACTTGCAGCAAGGAGCCGAGCTCGGGATGCCGGCGCTGGACCTCGTGGCTTCCGTGGCAGGAAGACATGTCCAAGAGCTGCCCGGTACGTGTGTGCCCTGGACACCTGCTGCCCTTCAGGATTGCCGTTTCATCCCTGACTCTGCCAGTCCCAGCCCTGCCCACCCCTTCCTCTTGATGGGAAGTGCCCATCACTGCCACCTCCCTGGGGACAGGCTGGGACACTTACCGGCCTCCGCACGTCGGGCACCGTCAGCCACAGCGGGAGCACGATGGGCAGGAGGAAGAGGTACAGGGCCTGCTTCTGCCTGCCCTCGGGCCACTCCAGGGACAGTGGCTCCTCCAGATCCTCCTCCTCCTCTTCTTCCTCCTCCTCCTCCTCTTCCTCTTCTTCCTCCTCTTCCTCCTCTTCTTCTTCCTCCTCCCCATCTTCCTCCTCCTTGGCACTGTCACCTCCATCCCCTTCCCCTTCACCATCTGTACCTTTCTCATCGCTTCTGGCTTTGCTGCCCTGGTTTGAGTCGTCGAATGTCTGCTCTTCTGAGTTACCTCCAGCACCTGCCCCAGCCCCCTCCTCTGCCTGCACTTGGTCCGTGTCCACCAGGGATTCCGGTCCTCCTGCAGGCTCTTGGCTTTGGCCTGTGCCGGTCCTTTCGCCCGCGTCCTCAGCTCCCGCCTCGCCTTCCTGCAAGCCAAAACCCACAGGTGAATGGGTCGGGCATGCTCTGTGTCCCAGCCACTCACTTTCCGCTTTTGTTCTTCCTTCTCCTCTCAGAATGTGTACGAGGAGGAGGGGGAAACAGCGCCATCATTAAGCAAAATAGCCCTAATGCCAGGCCTCCTCCCTGGAGGTTGGCCTTAATTTGAGGCTTTGCAGGCATGGAGAACACCCCTCCTAGAGCAGCTGGTTCACCATTGGCAATGCTGGTTGGCTCTGGAGATAGTACAGCGGGTAGGTATTCGCCTTGCACATGGTTCAATCCCCAGTATTCCATATGAGCCCAGCAGGAGTGACTCCTGAGTACAAAGCCAGGAATAACCCCTGAGCATCGCCAGGTATGGCCCAAATACTAAAAAAAAAAAAAAAAAAAAAAAAAAAAAGGGCAATTCTGTTTGGTTTGATGTACATGTTCACATCAAGATGCTCTCCCTGGCATATGAAGATTTGCTCCTGGGAATCACACAGAGGACACTAATCCATGACTCGGTCTTCTTCCTCATGTTCCCCAGGCTGGGGCTGACAGCCTTATTCCAGCCCTCGTGACTTCGCTCTAGCAAACCTCCATCTCATGGAGAAGCTTCCAGAACCACACAGCAGAACAGGATTATTCCCCTGGTTAATCCTGTTAGGTCAAAGTGCTGAATTTACTGAAACACTGAACTCTAAAGTATAAAATAATGAAATGATGATGGTGGTGATAATGCCTATTTACTGAGGGTTTTATGTGTCAGGCACCAGGCCAAGTAATTTAACAATAACTTGCATTTCTGAGGCAGAGATAGTTAAATTCATCTGACAGGTAGAGAACTCTGGCCTCAGAATAGTCGGATACCTCACCCTGCGTCCAATTTATAAGTGATGTCCTTGGGATTTGAATAAATATTCCATGTCTCAGCCACTTAACCACAAAACTACGCTTCACCAGTGCCAGGGACAAATGTGATCACTGGGTTCCTCCTGTCATGAGGGAGTTTATTAGAAACGCTCCCCTGCTCGGCCGGGTGAACTAGGATCTCAGCTTCTAGAAGCCAACAACACTATGTTAAAGCATGCACAAGTGGGACTGGAGTGATAGCACAGCGGGGAGGGCGTTAACTTGCATGAGGGCAACCCGGGTTCGATTCCCAGCATCTCATATGGTCCCCCGAGCACCACCAGGAGTAATTCCTGAGTGCAGAGCCAGGAATAACCCCTGAGCATCACCAGGTGTGACCCAAAAATCCCAAAAAATTAAATTAAAAACAGCACACACAACTGTTCTTCACAGAGCCAGCTGCAGGCTAGTGCTGGGCACCACAGTGATCCCGTGGCTCCTCAACAGGCCTGTAATGACCCATGAGAATGTTCTGCTCCAGTCCCTGGAGCAAATGACCTGCTCAGTCACACAGTCTGTCATGAATTTCATGGTCCAGCCGACCATGAAGAGATGCTCAGTGAATCGACTCCACCACATATCGGCATCCTGAGAGGCCTGACAAACATTCCTGCCCAAGGACCCAGAAGGCTGGTCTGGTCACTGACCGAGGGAGGGCCAGGCGGCTTTTAAAGTCTCCCCAAACTCTAACACACTGTGAGAATCGGAGCCCCTGGTGGAACCGATTAACATGAGCAAGGCCTGGACTTAGAACTAGGCATGCAGAAATCCTTCCTACCTGCCCCACCCTACTCAGCCACAAAAGTGGGCTCCACAGATGTCCATGGACACTGATGCCACCGAGTACCCTCCCAGCATGGGCCTGGACACATACCTCCCTTCTTCCTTCTTGGCATGCAAGACTTCCTCTCCCTGTCCTACTGCCCCCGACCCGACCCAGGACTCCATCTCACCAGTTACTGCATGTTCCCCTATGCTTTGAGGTACAGGAGGCAAACAAGCCTCCACATGGAGAAGGGAGGCCCGGGCTCTCACAGGAGTCTGGGTCAGCCCCTCACTGAACCTCACCTCACACCTGGGAGTCCAGACATGCACCCTCTCAGACCCTCTCAGAGCTGACCAGATGGGCCTCCACAGGGTGCCTATGCAGGCATGAAGACCCACACACCAAACCCAAAGTCACAGGCTTAAGAATGAGGGTCAGAGGAACCAGAGCCATAGTACAGGAGTTGGAGCGATAGCACAGCAGATAGGGTGTTTGCCTTTCATGTGGCCAACCTGGCTTTGATTTCCAGCATCCCATGTGGTCCCCTGAGCACTGCCAGGAGTAATTCCTGAGTACAGAGCCAGGAGTAACCCCTGTGCATCATGGGTGTGACCCAAAAAGCAAAACAAAAAACAGAGTCATAGTACAGAGGGTAGGGCACTTGCCTTGCATATGGCTGACCCAGCACCACAGTTGTTCCCCTGAGACCTGCCATGAGTGATCCCTTAGTGCAGAGTCAGGAGTAAGCCCTGAGCACCACTGCATGTGGCCCGAAAAACAAAAACAAACCAAAAACTGTTTTTAAAGAATGAGGGCTAGGAGCCAAAGCAGTAATACAGCAGGTCATGCTTCCCTTACACGTGGCCAGCCCAGGTTTGATCCCCAGCAGCACACATAGTCCCCAAAGCTCTTCCAGGAGTGATACCTGAGTCAGGAACCATCCCTGACTACCTCTAGGTGTGGCCCAAAAATCAAATATAAAATAAAATAATGAGGACCAAACCGAGAATATAATAGGGCACTTGCCGTGCATGCCGCTGACCCAAGTTCTATCCTCAGCGCCCCATATGGTCCCCCAAGCTACACTGGGATTAATCCCAGAACCAGGACTAAGCCCTGAGCGCAGTGGAGCATACCCTAATAACTGCCAGGTGTGGCTCTCCCACTAAAAAGAACTAGAGTTCATTGAGTGCTTGTGGGTATCAAACAGAAGGAACAGAGGGGTGAAGCTTACACACTGAAGGCATCTTGACTGCCGGCCACAGGCTGAGTGCCTCGTGCCAGCCTGTTCCTCTGGCAGGAGGGCAGACTTCTCTGGGACCGAACCTCACACCTACCCAGGAAGAAGCTGCACCGGAAAAGAGGATGGCAGGAAGGGCACTTTCCTTGCACCCAGATTCAGGGCAAACCAAGGTTCAGTCCACAGCACCCCATAGGTCCCCTGAACTCTGCCGGGAGGAAGTCCTGAGTGCAGTCAGAAGTAAGCCCAAGGCACCATCAGGTGTGGGCTCTCCAAAAATAGCACATGAGAAGGGCAATGATGATTAGGTCCCTGAGGACGGCACCACAGGTGTGTGCTGGGGGAAACCTGCCTCAGAGATGCTTTCCTGGGACTGGAGTGATAGCACAGCGGGTAGGGCATTCGCCTTGCACGCGGCCGACCCAGGTTCGATTCCCAGCATCCCATATGGTCCCCCGAGCACCGCCAGGAGTAATTCTTGAGTGCAGAGCCAGAAGGAACTCCTGTGCCAGGTGTGACCCAAAAAGAAAAAAAAAAAAAAAAAAAAAAAAAAGGATGCTTTCCCGAGCCTGGAGGAGGTGCTGGGACCCAGGATGTGAAGCCACATGGCGGGGAACAAAGCCGGGGCTAGAGGGAGCACAGTGTGGAAAGCAGAGCCCTCTGTGCAGGCTGCGAGAACTTTGGGCTCCTGCGGGCAACATCAGACCCTGCAGACAAACTGAGTTCTAGAAGGTTCTGAGGTGGGTGCTCACCTGTGGCACCTACTTCACCATCCCTGGCATCCCCAGCCCCCTGGGCTCACTGACCCCTGTACATGGGCACTATCACACCTGTAGCCCCAGGTGCACCTACCTGCCTGCCAGGGTCCTTCTCCTCATGACCTGTGGTGGCCGGTGCTGGGTCTGGTGTGGCCGGGACTGCTGGGAGCTTGGCCGGCTCCTCCTCTTCAAAGGATAAACATGGGACAGGTCAGAGGACAATGTCCACTCCCAAAGGCAGCCGACAGGTCCCTGTCTCTCCAGGGGTACCCACCAGCTCGGCGGGCACAGGAGCTGGGGTTCTTGTTTGTAGGAAAAAGAAAGTGTGACGTGGACACTGCCAGGGAACAGCCAGGCAGTAGCCATCCCTGCTCCCACTGGGTGCCCATGTTCCTGCCCTAGCGGACGTGACTGGGGAGATTGGGAAAGGGTGGACAGCAGGAGCGGGAAGGGGCAAAGCTCCTTCCTCCAAGAGTAGGACAGGATTTCAAAGCATTTTAGGATTTCAAAGGCAGCATCTTGGAAGCATGATTGCATTGGGAAACAGAGACTTGGAAAGTAAGGAAGACTGGAGTTGGTTCATTTCTTGGCTGTTTGACTTTGGGCAAATCTCTCTGAGCCTCTATTTCCTTATCTCTAGAAAGGGGAATGCCTGCTATTCTACCTCCCTCCAGGGTTGTTGAATGGCTCTGGCAGGCTCTGGTGTGCTGCCCCGACCCCAGCCAGCTGTCACCAAGACCTTGGCCTTCCCTCACCGGAGTGGGTAGTCTCAGACCAATTCCCACCAGCTCCGTTAGAAGTGACAGCCAGCAGAAATGGAATCTGAAAGCGCCTCTTCCAGGCGAAGACTGAGCACAAGGGAAGCGAGAGAGCCACGATCATGCCAGGCTTCGTCTGGCCCAGCTGAGCACCTTGATGGAGCTGGGCAGTGCCCTTCACCACTGCAGTCATCTGCCTGGAGCGACCATGTGGCCCCACTGAACCCTGGCCAGCAAGAAGGAGCAGGTACAGGAGGAACTGCCCGTCTCACGCTCCTCTCACCTGGTTTGTTCTCAGCCTGGGGTGCAGGCTCGGCCTGGGCCTTGTGATTCAAGCTCTCTGGCCCCTTGTCCTTGGAGGCACCGGCTGTGAAGGAGGAAGGAGACAGCTCACCACGCGGGGAGCAGGGGGAGTCTGGCTTGAAGATGGGGACGTCCTGGTTCTAGTCCACCAGACTTATTCATGGTACCCAACTCCCAAACTCTTAGCTTTAGGGGGTTTTTTGTTGGGAGGAGGATGTCACACCTAGCAGTGCTGGGGAGAAGGGGAGAGAGGGTATGAAATGGACCCTTAATCAGGCACTCCATCCCTTTGAACTATCTTCCTGGTCCCTCCACTCCCAAATATGTTTTAAATTCTCTGACTGGATCCAGAACAATAAATAGTAAGGCGGGTAGGGTTCTTGCCTTTCACATGGCCAACCCAAGTTCAATCCCTGACATCCCATAGGGCCTCTGAGCCCTGCCGGGAGTGATTCCTGATAAAAGAACCAGGAGGAAGCCTTGAGCATTGTCAGATGTGGCCCTAAAATAAATACACAAAAGCAACTGATTCCTCTGCAGAGTCACACTGACTGTCTGTAGCCTTGAAAAGCCTCTTCCCTTCCTGCCGTCTGTCGCCTTCCAGAACACACTAAGGCTCTGGGACCAGAGGGGATGGTTCCTTTGTAGGCAGGGAAGCCTGCCTGGGTGTTCAGAGGCTCCTGCTCTAGTTCCGGGAGCCTGGCTGGGATGCCGCAATATGGGGGATGTCGGAGGAGTCAGCGGATTTTACCAGGCCCAGAGTCGGTTCTCTGAAGCTGCCTTTCTTTGAATCTACCGAAATCTCTGCCTAACTCTGGAATGATGTTACAGGTGACCGGGTGCCTCGACTCCCCACTACAGGAGAACCTCACACCTACCCAGGAAGAAGCTGCACCAGGAAAGAGGATGGCAAGAAGGGCGCTTTCCTTGCACCCAGATTTGAGAGTGGGGCCAGGAAGGAGCCACAGCCGGACTCCGGCCCACACGCTTTGATCCCGGCCACCTGGACTCAGAGCAGGGCCTCCTTCCAGCCCTCGGCCCCACAGCACCAGTGCAGACAGGGGCTTCCTCCTGGATGCCACAGTGTATGTGCAGATGGTGCGGCCAGAAGAGTGGGAGAGTGGGGAGATGGCACAGGAGTGAAGGCACTCGCCTTGTCTAGGGCCAAATTCGATTCAGTTCTCAGTCCCATGTCCCAGTTCCCCAGCACTCTCTGCAGAAGCAGTCTCTGAGCACAACCGCTGTGGCCCAAAACAGCCACCACACACACACACACACACACACACACACACACACACACACACACAGGGGAAGACAGCCTGTCTGCCTCTGAGCATTGGGTGGCCACAGGGATTGTGTGCACCCTCTAAGCCTCGGCATCCCTTCTCTAGAGAAGCTGCACCCTGGCATCCCAGAGCACTGATGCAGGAGTGCATCAGACAGGTCACAAGGATGCTTTTGCACCTGCAATTCACTATCATTATGTTAGGCCCCCCTCTGGTGCCAGGCAGTCAGTCGGGGCATGGAACTCTGGTTCTATTCCTTCATCTGCCCTCACTAGTAATAGCTCAGACTCATTGAAGGAGCAGATGAATATATACACGAACAAGCTGAAACGCTGTCTGGCATCCAAAAGCACTTGGACTTGAGCTCTAACGACACTGATGAGCTGAGAGCAGTGACTGAGAGCAGCTGCCCAGGCCAGGAGGCAAGTCTGTGTCCACAAGGCTGGCATTCCAGACGGCTTGCGTGTGGAGTGACCCCACGGGACCACGAGTCCACACACATTCGGACAGAGATGGGGCAATGTGGAGAGCCACGTGGATCCGGCTACTTGGTCCCAGGTGAGTGGGAAGGCCTCAGGCCTAGGACTCTTGCCCCCAGCCAGCTCAGTGCTCACAGCAGCCTGCAAAGTCTCCCTGACGCCTGTGCTCCCTCACGGCCGGGGCCTGCCCACAGCTGCCCGGCAGAGTGGAGACACTGCAGCAGGGCACGGGGCCACCTTCGTCCACACAACTCTCATGTGCGTGGGCACAGGTCAGACACTTTAGTCTGCCCTGCACACAGAGGGCGGGTATCAAAGGGGCCCTGTCTGGTGGCTGGAGGGGCTGACACAGCCCCCTGGACACGTGGGAAAGCAGGGTTGTGGCAGCACTCTCTCTGTCTCTCTCCCTCCCTTCCACCATCTCTCCCCCCTATCTCTCACACATGCACTCTGACTCACACACACTCTGACTCTCTCATGACTCTGACTTTCTCTCACACACTCATTCACACATGTATTGTGACTCTCATGTACTCTCACACACATGCTCTCAATACACACACACACACACACTGAGTCTCTCACATACACTGACTCTCACACACACTCTCTCATACACATTCCAACTCTCTCACACACACTGACTCTCTCTCACATACACACTGACTTTCTCACATGCACACTGACTCTCTCACACACACACTGACTCTCACACACACTGACTCACACACACTGACTCTCACACACACTGACTCTCACACACACACAATTTCTCTCTCACACACTGACTCTCTCACACACACAATTTCTCTCTCACACACTGACTCTCTCACACACACACACTAACTCTCTCACACACACTGACTCTCACACACACTCTGACTCTTGCACACACACAAACACTGACTCACACACACTCTGACACTCTCTCATACACACTGACTCTCACATCTGACTTTCATACACACATACCCACAAGCACTCTCACACTCTGTCTGACTTACACATACACACACACACACACACACACACACAGTCCTAAGTGAAATCGCTAGAAGGAGAAACCCCCTCTGAGGACAGGTGAGAGGTTGGAGCGCAGCTGAGCTCTGTGGAAAGAGCTGGAACCCCTGCAGAGCAGGCTCCTCAGACAGCTGAATAGAAAGCAGACCAGAGTGTCTGAGGGCAAGTCTTCCTTATGCTGGTCCTGGGCAGTCAGGGCTGAGCCAGGTCAGCCCAGAGCAACCCCCCAAACCAACAGCCATGGCTCCCCCACAGCTGCCTGTACCCTCAGGGCACGAGTGTGGGTCCTGTCCCCTCTCGCCGCGCTGCTGATCTCCTCAGTCTCCCCCTCTGCACCCAGTGGGTCGGCATCACAGAGTCCTGTGAGGACACGTGGCCAGTGGCAGCTCCCACAGACAGAAGGGCCAGTCCCCTAGAAGGTGCCTGTGGCTGAGCCCCTACAAGGGCCGCTCTGTCCAGACTCAGTTTTCATCCCTGCACTAGCTGCTGGGCTCAAAAACCCCAACTGTGGGACTGGAGCGATAGCCCAGTGGGTAGAGCATTTGCCTTGCACGCGGCCTACCCGGGTTCAGTTCCCAGCATCCCATATGGTTCCCTGAGCACCGCCAGGAGTAATTCCTGAGTGCAGAGCCAAAAGTAATTCCTGTGCACTGCCAGGTGTGACCCAAAAAGAAAAAAAAAATGTGTTTTTCCGGAGCTGACACCTGGGGGTGGTCTCCAGTTGGGGGCAACCTCTCTCAAAGTTACACAGGGCTCCCTGTGACAATGTCCTAAGGATGGCTGATGACCTGCTAGTCTCTGTTTTTCTCAGGCCATTGCACGAGACTCTGGAAACCCAAAAATATTGTGTCTGATAAGGACTGGGGTAATTCTGACCACCCCCCCCCCCCCGCCCCAACCATGACCCTGCACCGGAAGTTGTTGAGGGCAGCCTGTGGGAAGAGGGACTGAGGGAGGTTGGACATCAGACCCACTGCACTCTGGACCCTGCCTAAGCCCCCACCATCCCTAGAGGCTTCCTACCTGGGTATTCTTTTTTTTTTCTTTTACATTTTGGGTCACACCTGGCAATACACAGGGGTTACTCCTGGCTCTGCACTCAGGAATTATTTCTGGCAGTGCTCAGAGGACCATATGGGATGGGGGGGATCGAACCTGGGTCGGCTGCATGCAAGGCAAGCGCCCTACCCTCTGTGCTATCGCTCCAGCCCCTACCTGGGTATTCTTTGGGATTTGGGGTTCCCCGGATCCTAGGACGCCAGAGCAGGGAGGCTACCCAGGAAGGACCTCAGGAGCAGCCCTGGTGGAGCTGCTTGTCTGGAGACTTGGTGGGCCCTGAGCTGACCTGGGGCCCCTGGCACCCCATCCCCATCAGTCACCACAGAACCCTTTGCTTTGACAGGGTGAGGGCAGGAGGGGCCACCCATGGGCCTGGGCTCCAGGAGTGTCACTCTCTCCCACCGGGCTCCCGCAGCCTCATTCCTCCCACCTGCGCCTCAGCCCCGGCCAGGCTGCGGCCAGCAGGGTGGGCACCGCCTCGCTTACCTGTCCCCAGCGGGTCCAGGCTGTGGAGCATGAGCCAGAAGATGGAGCTGCGGATGGTGCTGTTGTGCAGAGACGGGGAGCTGCTCTCACGGGTGAGCATGGACACAGACGGGAGCTGGGCAGGGAGAGTCACACGGGCCTCAGTGGGCCCAGTGCCCTCACCCAGAGGCGGGGCAGAAGCACAGGCCTCCCCGGAGGGCACCCCCACTGCTTCCTCTCTGCAGGGCTGACCCCCACTGGCTGAGTCCAGGCTCCACACAGACTGGGCAGACACAGTCCCTCACCCGCCTCCACTCACACCACAGGGACACACACCCAGTCCCGACCCTCCATGGCTATGGTCTCCCCGTCCCCCGACATTAAGGGGACAAAGACTTCAAGAAACTCAGGGGCCCAGGCCAAGGGGCTTCTGCATCCTAGGCCTCTCCTCCCACCTGCTCACAGACCTTCACAGATACCCACAGACACACACGGGGCTCAGCTCAACTCATTCTCATGACACTCCCCAAATACTATCTGATCCACCCAGAGAGGCAAAGTCAGACCCCAGCTGCACCCCACCCCCACCCCCAGCCAGAACCTGTCCTTGTGGAGCTGTCCTCGCACGCCCCCTAGTGGCTGTGCTCACGCAGTGTCCACTGGCTGAAGGTATTCTCCAGGTGACCTCTGCCTCCAGGGTCTCCCCTGTATAATCCAGGCTCCAGGACCCCCTGCCTCTGATTGCCACATTTCCCAAGACAGCTAAATCGCCATTTCTCAGAAACCTCAGACTCCCCTGTCCCCAGGACCTCTCCGATGATTCTCTTAATTTGGAGACATTAAAAGCTTTAAGCATCAGGGCCAGAGAAATAGTACAGCAAGATAGGGCGTTTGCCTTGCACATGGCCGACCTGGGTTCGATCCCCGGCATTCCATATGGTCCCCCAAGCACTATCAGGAGTGATTCCTGAATGCAGAACCAGGAGGAACCCCTGAGCATCGCTGGGTGTAGCCCAAAAGAAAAAAAAAAAGCATTAAGCATTCAAATGATTAAGCTTTGAGATCATGCTGGCGTTTGACTCATCCAGTCATTGTATAGATGCAAATCTGAGGCCCAAGTTCACCACGAACTAGATACTGAACACGCTGCCTCTTCCTCTTTCCTCTGCAAGGACAGAGAAAGCAGACGCACACCCAGATAACCAGTGATCTCAGAGAATGCTGTCACCACACCTGTATCCAGTGTCCCCAAGTAATGTGTTCACTCACCACGGTCTCTCATACCAGCTGTCTCTGGCCCCTTAAATGCACCTTCCAAATCAGGACTTAGTTCAAAGGACTGAGCATATGCATGCCGGAAACCCGGGTTCCATCCCCAGCATTGCCTGGAACCCCAGCACTGCCAGGAGAGACTCCCAAGCAATACACATGGTCCCTGGTCCTTCACTTGAAACACTGTCCCCAACCCCCACTGTCTGTGTTTCTGACACTTGACCTTCCCAGCCCTGCTCACTCTGTTCTAGAGCCTGGTTCTTCCTCCGTAGCACATCTCAGCTTATCCAGAGAGACCAGGACATACAGATAGACAAGCCGCCTCTGGCACGCAAGCAGACGGTCCTGCATGTCCATTCATCACTCCGTGCATGAAAGTGTTAGCCAGCACTTAACGAAGATTCAAAAACCATCGAGTGAATAAATGAATAAATTGTCCCCTGAATTGGGCCAGAAAAGCAGGGAGGGCATTTCCCTTGCATGCAGCCAACCCAGGTTTGATCCCCAGCATCCCATATGGTCCACCAACACCACAATTTCCTAGTGCAGAGCCAGGAGTGACCCCTAAGCATCACCAGTCGTGGCCCCCAAGCTCCCTAAAATCGTCACTGTCACTGTCCTCCAATTGTTCACCAATTCACTTGAGCGGTCACCAGTAACATCTCCATCGTGAATTTATTGTTATTGTTTTTGGCATATCCAATACATCTCGGGTGAGATACTCTTGGTAGCTTGCCTGGCTCTCCGAGAGGGGCAAAAGAATTGAAACTGGGTTGGCCCTGTGCAAGGCAAATGCCTTACCCACTGTGCTATCGCTCCAGCCCTCACTAAAATTAATTAATTAATTAATTAATTAAAATTTTTAAAAAAACTGTCCTGGGGCTGGAGCGATAGCACAGCTGGTAGGGCGTTTGCCTTGCACATGGCCAAGCCGGGTTCAATTCCCAGCATACCATATGGTCCCCTGAGCACCACCAGGAGTAATTCCTGAGTGCAGAACCAGAAGTCACCCCTGAGCATTGCCGGGTGTGACCCAAAAAACAAACAAACAAAAAAAAACTGTCCTACAAATATATCTAACTATCTCAACTTCTCTACTCTGTTTCATGCCTTTTCCCTCTGCCTAAAGTGCCCTTCTCATTACTTTGTGTCTACTGTTTTTTCCTCCAGAAAATTCAGGGTGAGGGATCAGAGCAATAGTACAGTGAACAAGATGCTTGCCTAGCATGTGACCAACTTGGGTTCGATCCCCAGCACCCCATTCATTCCCTGAGCTCACCAAGCATGACACCTGAGTGCAGAGCTGGGGGGTGGTGGGGGTGTGGGACAGGGTTGTGAGTGTAGTGAACTTATACCACAGCCATCTCTGTTGCTCTAACTTCTGTCTTGACAAAGGCTGTATCGCCTTTTGTTGTTTGTGGGTCACACCCAGTGGTGCTCAGGGTTTACTCCTGGTTATGTGCTCAGGGGTCATTCCTGGCAAGGCTGGGGGACTTTATGGGGGTGCCAGGAATTGAGCCCAGATCTGCAGAGTGCAAGGCAAGAGCTTGCTGAATTCTTGGTCCTAGGAGCTTGATGAAGGCAGCTGAATAAGCTCAAACTCCCACAGGCCTCCAGGGCCCTGGGTCGTTAACTGTCTCTCTGCACCTCTAGAACCCGCCAAAGCTGAACTTGTACTAGAACTCTCTCCTCTGCTCAGCTCAGGAAAATGCAGGCAGCACCGCCTGCCCAGGACTCCTCTTCCCTCCCCCACTTCCTGGCCACCTGCCCCTGCAGGGGCTGTGCTCGCCCAGCATGGATGCAGGTTCTCTGACCGGAGAGATCTAAGACTGATGACAGCACCCGTGTGACAAAGCTCTAGACTGAAAGGCAAAGACCAAGGGACTGGGCTTCGGAGGAACGGGAAAGGCATCTGGCTGGTAGAACTGGGTGGCTCTGTTTTTTTTTCTTTCTATTTTTTTTTTTTGTTTATTTGTTTTGTTTTCACTAGGCAGAGATCCATGGGCTGCCTGGCCTGAATTCTGCCCCCACTGAGGGGACATGAACCAGGGACTTTGCACAGGACTGCACCAAATAGAGAACCCGTCTGAGCCTGGGTGTCAAAGCAAAGGTCTCCCTGACTCACTCCCTCTCCCTTGAAGGTCACGTCCAATCAGGCATCACTGCTTGCTCCGAGAGCCCTAAGCATGGCCTCATCTTCATCTGCTGCCTCAGCCCCGATCTGTTCCTCCTTCTGGTTTTCTCTCCAACCCCAGCCAGAGAGACTCCAAGCACACCATGTGCCCCACACCCACTCATATGCGTATTTTTGCACCGTGGTTTATAGTACTGTGGCTAAGGGGGTTTCATACTTAGGAGGGAGCTGGACTCCTCAGCTGGGGTCACTTGGGCCTCTTGCCTGCACCACAGAAACAGAACACAAGCCACGGATGTGACACCAGGCTCTCCCGCCATCACATTTTCCAAAAGTTAAAGAAACGGGTCAAGTTAATTTTAATAATATACTTGGGCTGGAGCAATAGTACAGCAGATAGGGCTTTTGCCTTGCACACAACCGACCTGGGTTCGATTCCCAGCACCCCATATGGTCCCCCGAGCACCACTAGGAGTAATTCCTGAGTGCATAGCCAGGAGTAACCCATGTGCATTGCCTGGTGTGACCCAGAAAACGATAAATAAATAAATAAATAATATACTTGATCTAAATCTGTATGTTTAAATATGGTGATTAAATGTAATTCACAATTGAAATATTGATGCAGTATTTTGCATAGAGTGCCATTAGACCTTTTAAATCTGCATTTAATACTTGCAGCAAAGTTAATGTAACCAAGTTCTGACCAAGCCCAATTTCAGGAGCTCAGCAGCAGCAGGAAGCCAGTGACCCAGGAGTAGGCCACACCATCCCTGCGAGCCATTTTCCTACCTTCCACACCATCTTTCATTTCGGCGCTTCATAGTAAAGGCTTGCCCAGAGTGCCAAAACATATGCACAGGCCAATGGAGTAGGCCAGAGAGCCCAGAAATCAATCTGCACGTATACTGACCTCTAATCTACAAAAAAGGAGCCGAGTCCAGAAAGCTTCTTCAATGAGTGGGGATGAGACACCCACATACAGAAAAAAATGAAACTAGATCATCATTTAACATCACGAATCACGACCATCCTGTTATTCGTCGATTGCCTCGAGCAGGCCCCAGTAACGTCTCCTTCATCCTATCCCTGAGATTTTTAAGAAAGTGCTATATTCAAGGCTCTTTAGGAGAATGAGACCCATCATTGTTACTGGTATTTGGCATATTGGGTATGCCACGGGGAGTTTGCCAGACTCTGCCGTGTGGGCAGGCTACATTCGGTAGCCTGCCGCCAGTTTGTCCATTCAACATCATCACTTAAATAAACTAACAAAAAAATGCAATCAAACCATAAACTACAGTGAGCCTAAATCATACAGTAGAGAGAAGAAAAGCTGATAATGTGGGGCTGGAGCCATAGCAGAGCAGGTAGGGTGTTTGCCTTGCATGCGGCCGACCCAGGTTCAATCCCCAGCATTTCATATGGTCCCCCAAGCACTACCAAGAGTAATTCCTGAGTGCATGAGCCAGGAATAACCCCTGTGCATTGCTAGGTGTGACCCAAAAAGAAAAAAAGCTGATAATGTTCTTCAGACCCCTGGCATCAGGGCAGAGTCCACTGGAAAGGAGAACACAAATAAGAAACACATAGGACTATGTCAAACTATTCATGACTGGGTTTCGGGGAGACACTGTCACTGTCACTGTCCTCCCGTTGTTCATCGATTTGCACGAGCGGGCCCAGGAACGTCTTCATTGGAGACTTTGTTGTTACTGTGTTTGGCATAT